ATTTGGGCGATGTGTTTTCATGTGATGGTGAGTGCAGCTTGGAGTTTGGAAATTTTGGTAATTTCAATTCAAATTGTTTCTTTAGCCCGTCAGTTTATACCAGCATGTATTTCCACACGACACGTGGGCACGCTCAAAGATTAATGTGGACTCGATTTGATTCTCAACTCCTAGGGAGGGATGCAATCAGTGCTGCCCCTAAGATGCTAGGTTGACAATCCCGTTGTAAATTTGTAAAATTAAGTACACTCTCCTGGGACTAAACAAAAACATCTGAATAGTGAGTGAAGTGTTTACGACAAATCAACAGTATCTCTGCCATGGTGACGAGACTAGTTTTCTTGATCAATGGCTGCCACAATGGACAGTAAATCATTACCATTCCAAGTTTCGAGATTCCAAGCTTGCCGTTTCCATACTAAAACATTGTAATCAATACATTCATCAATAGTACATTTAATACCATTGACCACCTTACTGGAGATCATGAATTAAACAGGGTTATTTGTTACAACTACTCTCTGTGTATTTGCCACAGTCAGGAAGTGCAGATGAATGTTTTGCACTGAAAGATCTTAGACGGCGGCGATCGTCAAAGAAGCTCTGTGAACAATTCCTTGCACAGTCTTGCGTCTCTTGAGCGTTGTTTCATCCAAAGGGTTTTGAATCCGGTATTTGCCTTGTTTAAACTTGTCAAAACTCCCATCACAAAGTCGGATATTTATAAGGTGCTCTAAATGAGTAAGTAGAGTGAGCGAGTGAGTGAGTTTTGTTTTACGCGGCTTTTTAGCAATATCACAGCGGGCGACACCAGAAATGGGCTTCACACTTTCTACCCATGTGGGGAATCGAACCCGGGTCTTCGGTGTGAGTGAGTGAGGGAGTTTAGTTTTACGCCGCACTCAGCAATATTCAAGCTATATGGCGGCGGTCTGTAAATAATCGAGTCTGAACCAGACATTCCAGTTATCAACAGCATGAACATCGATCTGTGCAGCTGGGATACGGTGACATGAATCAACCAAGTCAGCGAGCCTGACCACCCGATCCCGTTAGTCGCCTCCTCCGACAAGCATGGGTTGCTAAAGACCAATTGTAACCCGGATTTTCACGGGTGAGGAGGACGACGATGATGATGGTGATGATAATGATGATGGTGATGATGATTATGCTTGTATATGCAGGTTAAATACACTGTTTTGGCATATGCACGTGACTTTCGATTCTTTTTCGATCCGTCAATCTGACTCTCAATTTTAACCCGGATCCTCACGCCGTATTTAAGCAGCCATCGCCCTACATTTAAACACCGAGATTACCATCCAGTGTATTTGGTTGCCTGACAACGAGCCTATATTGCTGGGGAACCTGTATTGTTACCCTCAGGTCGTGAGTGGGCTAACATAGTTGGATACACCCTAGGACTGTATGGATCAATCCAAAACACAGAATTTCATTCATGTCATAATAAATGATAAATACATAGTTACATCCACAAGATATCAGTTTCATACGGTTTCAGTGCCTAGTTCAAATACCGAGGGATTAGAAAACCTTCGGTTACGTACACAGTGATTACCTGGGAAAGTGTTATTGTCTGAAATCCGTTCACCTATCTCTGAATGCGTACCAAAAACAAATATTAACGTGCCGTTAACCTCCTAGGTAATAAAAGTTTAACGTGATGTCAATTTTCAAAGAGCTGGGTATGGAATTCGAGTTCACACTGATCCGTTAACAAAGGGAATGCATGTTTCAAAAGGATTGATTTTGGCGCATTGTGAATATACACATATTAGATTTTACTATTGATTGTAATGCAGACAGAAGAATAGATAGTAGATCACCGTGTCGATAACGATTCCAAGTGAGGCTACATATCTCAAACAGGTTTTGAAGATTTTGTATTCCGAGGCAAGATATGTCACCAAGACGATACCTCCGAGCCATAGGCATCACCTTCTGCAATATGATAATAATCATTAATCATAATAATTTCTATAGCGCCTACAAACCACCAGTAAGGTGCTCAGTGGCGCTGTACAAAGTAAAACACATTTCGATGGTCAATTTTGGAAAACTTAAAGCGTTCGCTCGTCACGCTGAAGACCCAGGTTCGATTCCCCACATGGTACAATGTGTGAAGCCCGTTTCTCACTCACTCACTCATTTATGTACTAACGACAAGCTCCACTACAATCTGATAACAAAACATATAAAACATCAAGAGTCATTGTCATCATCACAGACAGGTCAAGTGCATGCTACTTTGGGCAAATTAGCGTTTTGAATTCTCTGAAGTTCAGATAGCAGAGATGTTGGGATATTGAAGCAGAGAGCATTACAGTAATGGTGTTGTGATGTAACAAGAGTTTGCAGCAAGAGCTTGACTGTTTCTGTGTTGAGAAGATTAGACCGATGTTGTGAATTTTGAAAAAAAAGCTTTTGACAATTGATCGAAGTGTTGCTCCATGGGCATGTTTGTCTGAAATGTACGTCCACGATGTCTGCGACAGGTAGATAATGCAATATCACAGTCACCGATTCTGACGGTGAGTGATGATGGGACTTTCTGTAGCTGCTGATTTTATCCCAAAGTACAAAATTATGTTTTGCTGACATTTATTCTGAGATATTTAATGGTCACCCATGTTCTGATCTCGGCTAGGCAGGCTACAATTGGTTGGACTCCATTGTGCCTGAGATGGTTCGAGTGGAAATGCACAGCTGGTTACCGTCAGCACGGAGTTGGAAACGAAGACAATGGCTCCTCACAATATCTCCAATTGGCAGGATGTTGATGCTAAAGAAGAGCGGTACCAGTCCTGAACCTTGACGCACTCAACTGTGAGAAATGTTGGCGCTGAGTTCACCGACCCCAAAGGTAATGTACTGCGTTCGCTCAGAGAGATAGCACACATAATCCATGAAAGAGCAGTACCGGTGATTCTCATCTCTTGAACAACACAGCATGGTCGATTGTATCAAGAGCCGCCGATAGATCTAGACGAATAAGCAATGTCATTCTTTCTGATCCATAGATTTCATGATGTCATTGTGAACTCTGACAAAGTGCTGTCTCGGTGCTCTGGCGACGGAAATTTGCAGACTGAAAGGTTAGAGTACACCATTTTAATTGAGATGTTTGAGGGAGACTCAGAGAGAGAATTCTGTCTAACGTCTTTGAAATAAAGGACAGGTTTCACACAGGCCTATAGTTTTTAAGTTCATTCCGATCTGGCTTCATGTTGTTAGCAATGGCGTGACAGCAGCCACGTTGAAAGATTCAGGGACAAGACCATCCTTGAGTGATATGTTCCCAATATCCAAGAGCAGATCCGAAACATTGTCTATAGTCGCTTTCAGCAGCCAAGTAGGGATTGCATCCAGTGAAATTGATTTTGTTTTTGATTTCAGAATCACGTCTTTTAGTTCCATCGAGTAAGACATTGTGAAGTATCTAAGTGGATTTCCAGTAAATTCACTTAAGTGAAAGTCCCGTTTAAACAAAGCACGTTTTTGTCAAGACCATCTCTGATTTATCAATTTTAAGTAAAGAACGATGTAGTGAGTTAAATGAGTACGTGTTCGAGGGTTCTATTATGCATGCATCTTTGCCATAAACCGACATCTTCCGAGATCTGTAAAGTCTCCATTAATCTTGCGCTACTGGCCATTTCGTACAAGTTATACACAAAGAACTTAGTTAAGCATCCCCTGACATATCCAACGATTGAATGTGCTCCGATCTGAACCCTTTGGAGCATATCTGGGACATGATTGGTCGTCGTGTACAACAAAGGGATCCTCCTGTACAGAACCTGGTCCAATTGGAAGCTGCTTTACACAAGGAATGGCGTAGTCTGCACCTTCAGAGGATCAGGAGGCTGACAGGGGGTATGAAGAGGAGTGTGCTGCCTGTCATACAGTCACATGGTGGTTACACTCGGTATTGACCTTGAATCGTGTAAGGTACGCAAAATGACATTTTGAATGTTCACATTCACCAATAAATTCAACTTTTAACATCCCAGGGCCATACTTGTACAGACATAGTTTTGTATGAAAATCAGTGGGGCGTTTTTGTAAATGAGCAATTATCATCATAAATTCAACATGGATTCCAGTCATATTTTCGTTTTGTATGAGTCAAAGGATCATACGGGTAAGAAAAACTCATGTTTTTTTCTTCATGGTCACCATGAGAAGTTTCATGTACGTGTTGGAAATCTGTCATTGCAAAAATATAATGGGTGCTTAATTAAGTTCGTTGTGTATATATCGCCACACATGAGGTGGCCTAAAGTCCGAAGTCTAAGGTCCCCAGTTCAATGTGCAGAGTGGCTTCCCTTAACGTGTGCCAGAGACCAATGATCACAGGTTCGAATCCTGGTACATTCTAAGTTTATCAATGCCATAACTATGCCCGTTTCTTGTAAGCGTTCGACACTTGCATCTTTCGGCATTTCGTCCACCACAAAGCACACATGCCGTGAAGGAGGCGTTGAAGTCCAAAGTATCCTAGGCTTCTCCTTTCATTCATACATGGGTACAATGAGTAAAGCCCCATTTCTTGAGTCCCCCACCGTGATATTGCTGGAATATTGCTAAAAGCGGCGTAAAACCAAACTCAGTCAGTCAGTCATTCATACTGTGATCGGTTTGTTGGCGTGGCTTCCTATGTCACTGTATCCCGGAGATGTATATGCTTTAAGGAGGCGGCGGGATAGCCTAGTGGTAAAGCGTTCGCTTTTCACGCCAATGTTCAGGTTTCCATTTCCTACATTGGATTAATATGTGAAGCCCCGGTGTCCAAACCGTGATATTGCTGGGACATTCATAAAAGCGGCGTAAAACCTTACTCAGTCAGTCAGTCATGTTTCAGTCATTACATTCCTGTATTTTCATATTTACAAATAGCAATCTAGGAATAAAGCTGACTATGGCATGGCATCAAACGACATTCGCGCTTCACTTAACATTTCTTAGAAGATCACATCAAGCGTGAAGACTGCAGTTTATTCCCACGAGAATAGTTCAGGTAGACCGTTTAGATTGCGTCTTGGGACAGCAGTGCTTACTTCTTAGGATGAAGTTCTGAAAATGGGAGAAAAAAAGAGTTAGATAAACGGAACTATATAGAAAGGGTATATGTAAAGTTCGTGATTAGGTATCTCTGTCCTCCACTGTAATAGAAATATTGAAGTATCGAATGAATGTAATCATCAACATCATCATCAATATAATGATCTTCCTCATTGCCATCGTGAATATTGTCAGTACAATCATTACACCTTATGTTGTCATTGTCACCGTTATAATAATCATTCATTTACTAATTACCACAGTTAAATCATGATTATCATAACTTGTGTCACCATTACCATCATAAATGTTATCATTAACATCATTCTTATCAATATCTTCATGAATATCATATTTACAGTCATGTAATGCAATAATCAACACCACAATTATTATATCCTCTATCATCTACAGAACTGTTGAGATTCTTGTGAGGCGTTTAGAAGTTGTTGAATATATAAGACAGGTATATGGATGGCAACCTCGTCTTTATTGTATAACACGACGTTTCTGGGCTACGTCTTGCCTGAAGAAGGGGCAGAAGTAGCCCAGAAACGTCGTGTTAATAAAGAAAAGTTGCCATCCATATATTTGTCTTATCTACAAACTTCGTTATATACCCAACTGTTTATACTGTCCGTTGTCAACAGATATTTCCAAATGAATAACTTCATCCTCTGAGACTGTGAGTATTACACACACGAAAATATTTTTAACTCCCTCACTAACTCCTTTATCATCATAATATCTTCTTTACCTCATAATATTTTCATTGTGAGTGAGTGACTTAGTGAGGTGAGTTAATATTTAACGTCACATATAATATTTTCATAACCATCGTTACCATTATTGACTTCGTTGGCACATGACCATTGTCTTATCATCACAATTAGAATAATCGTGCATGCAGAATGGTTGAAAATAAATCACTAGACACATGAGACTGGTAAACGTGTGAGCTACTCGGATGTTGTGAACGTTGTTTGCTCGAAGACGACCACGATATCGCGTGATCAGATGGAAACATGTATGAATAATTACATTTGTATGTATTTCACAAAGCGTTTTGTTATCACATTTACATCCGAGGACACATTAAATGTGACGTCCGTCAGAAATACAATGTTGACATCCGCTTGTCAACATTTATCTGTCAATACGATATGTACATACCATTAGGGCTTGAGTTCGTCTCGGAGAATGAATTTATTTATTGCATTTTCTGTCAATCAATGTAAATGGATGTATGTATTATAAATGTGATAAAATAATTAGATTGCTTTGGGATAAACATGTGAGACCACAAAAAACTCTTATCACCGTAAAAAATCAACGGCGCGCATCAATTAAAACGTGCTGTGGACATTCATAAAGTATGGATTTTGCATCAGCAAATGTTGCAGCGTTCGTAAACGAGCGATGCAGCTATGCGGGCTGGTACGAAATTAAATGAATATATTTGACTGACTGACTGACTGACTGAGTTTAGTTTTACGCCGCTTTTAGCAATATTCCAGCAATATCACGGCGGGGACACCAGAAATGGGCTTAACACATTGTGCCCATGTGGGGAATCGAACCCGGGTCTTCGGCGTGAGGATCCAACGCTTTAACCACTAAGCTACCCCACCGCCCCAGAATATATTTTGAAGTATATATTATATTTACACTGTAATCGTCCTATCTGAGGTCATGACGTATCCACTGTGATCGTCATATTTGAGGTCATTAAGTATTCACTGTGATCGTCATATTTGAGGTCATTAAGTATTCACTGTGATCGTCATATTTGAGGTCATTAAGTATTCACTGTGATCGTCATATTTAAGGTCATTAAGTATTCACTGTGATCGTCATATTTAAGGTCATTAAGTATCCACTGTGGTGGTCCTATTTGAGGTCATTAAGTATTCACTGTGATCGTCTTATTTGAGGTCATTAAGTATCCACTGTGATCGTCATATTTAAGGTCATTAAGTATTCACTGTGACCGTCATATTTGAGGTCATTAAGTTTTCACTGTGATCGTCCTATTTGAGGTCATTAAGTATTCACTGTGATCGTCATATTTGAGGTCATTAAGTATCCACTGGACAAAGTATTGTGAATGGGTACTTCGTGAGGATGGGAAAGTCTGCAAGTGACTGCACGAGTTGTATACTCCCCAGGGAGTTGAGATTGATAATACGATGCGCTGTTGAGATTGACATCCAATGATCGAGTGAAAAACCAGCGCCTTGAGCATGTACAAGTTGCGTGGATATGTGCGCTATATAAATATCCTATAATAATGATAATATGTATGCGAATGCGTGCTATGCTGTTGAGGTTGAATATCACTAGAGTCGTAGTAATTATTGGGAATTTCAAATATACCAAACTTACAGGCAACTAAAACATTAACGTGTATATGGCGTACAATTAGGCTCTTTTGCGTGAGAAATCAATGACTTACGATTGCTTACAGAAATCTAAGCATCCGGTATTTACCAATAATCAAGAGTGCGTTTCCGAGTATGTAACACACTCATAACTCATCAAGGTATAAAAACATCCGAACTAACTGGCCAAAATGAAAGAGTATTATATATGGATTCTTTAAATTTCTATGTACATTGTAATATTCTATAGAACATTATATAGACACACTCTGGTGCTTCTAAATATTTACGTCTCGTTAGTTAGGCATAGAATTAGCCAGCATGATAAATTCATGACAGAGCAAATATTTGCGACAAAACCTTTTACACATACATAAGAAAATGTCATTGAACTAAAGTCGAGTGTACGATTGTACGATTGTCGTGGGTATCTGTATGTGACTCACTATCAAATAGTGATTGAGTGAATGAGTGAGCTTAGTTTTCGCCGCTTTTTAGCCATATTCCAGTAATATCACAGCGGGGACACGAGAAATGGGCTTCATGCATTATACACAATTTGACAATCGAGCCGGGGTTTTCTGCGTGACGAGCGACCTCTTTAACCACTCAGGTACCCACTATAAAATAGTTAGGATTCCAGGTGTACCTACGTATTGTTGGCTTGGTTCGTCTTCGACAACTTTGAACGAGCCTTCTTCATTCACATCACATATGAGCTGGATAACGGAAGTTCTGAAACAGCATCTTTACATTGTTTCAAACAAATCATCTGAAACATAACGATTGTACATGATAAAACCAAATTATTATGAATATGTTTACTATCCCATTACATATCAGATCTATCCGCCTGTCAACCAATCTACCTATGTATCTTTGTTTGTGTGTATGTGAGTGTGTGCATGAACAGACACATTCCAGTAGTGTGGCCATTGTTTTGGTATACAGTCATGTATTAACTTTAACAATCTATGAATACGTGAGGATTTAATAGGCATGACTGTAACACGTGAATCCACTCAAACAGACCCGTCTTCAGCAACCCATTCCTGTCGTACGAGGTGACTCACGGGATCAGGTGGTCAGGTTAGCTGACTTGACTGACACATATCATCGTGTTCCAGTTGTGTAGATCAATGCTAACGATATCAATAACCTGATTGTCTGGTCAGGACTCGATTATGTACAGACTGTCGTCATACTGCTAAAGAATTGCTGAGTGCAGAGTTAAATCACACAAACAGCCATGTAATTGTGTTGAAATGTTTGTTGTTTTCCGTTGCACTCGACAAAATTCCAGATATATGACGTCAGTCTGTAAATTATCGAGTCCAGATAACTAAGCAAAGAGCAACGATATATGCAAGTGGGATATGTTGACATGTGTCAACCAAGTCAGGGAGCCTGCAAACCCCATACCGTTCGTGGCTGTATGCAACAAGTATGGTATGTATATTTGAAAAACAGTCATAACTACACTCTCAAGGACCTTGTATAATCCCAAGGTGGAATACAAGGGCAGGGCACACAGCAGCTGTTATACTCACAGTTACGTACAAAATATAAAAATGATACAACCGAAATCTTGGAAAACATTCAATGCAAATGTCACTTGTATACATGTCAAACCCCTTCTGTCTTGTAAACCGCCTGAATAATCTTCTTTAAGACCTTTGTGTTAATGAACAGGTCAGTCTTGACAGTTCAAGAGTCAAAAGTGAAATGTCAGTTATGACAATGAATATGTTTACAATGACAGTGAAGATCACAGAAGAAGCCAGGAATGTTAGTGTAGTGATCTTGTCATTAGAAACAGAACGTTACAGACTTGTGTTTACTTTAAAAATCACTCAGAAAAAGCAACTATTATGAACTGCAACCAAAGGGGAATATTTTGGTGTTTATACACACTCAACTACAAAGCAAAGTGGTCATCCTGCAAGACTCGCTACATCCACTTGAATCATCAGCGGCAGATTCACAGTCTCGCCTAGGCCATTGCACTGTCACAAGGTATGCCTATCTTACAAACTCAGTTCATCACTATAATTGGAATGCCAAGACCAAGTCCGTATTCTGGCACAGTTAAGATAGAAATAAAGTTGGATCCATTATCTCTCATTGATTTCCAAAACGACAAAAGATGATCAAACCATATTGTTTTAAAGCTGGTCAGATGTTCAGATCTATCTGAACTAGTGGTGGTCCGTTTAAGTGAAATATTCGAAGATTGGTCGCAGTGACTAAAAACGACCAAGCAATCGATCATGTTTTCTCATAATCGAACACAAACAATTCTGGAACACTTGTTTGCATTAACAAAAATTTCACAAGGTTGGCTTTGTCTGTTACATTTCATGACCACTACAAGTTCGTTCCAAGTCATGATTGAATTTATCTTCAAGACTCCAAGAAATTAATGTTCCTAACCTACTAATCATCCTTTAAAGATGTGAAATTTGTCAATGCCTTGTGTGCAATTTGCAAAAACACCAAAGAACTACAGGTTTTTTTCTTTATTCTTTTTGTCCATTAACAAATATAATCAGGAAAATTTCATAAATGACGCTAACCAAATATTATTTTCGATGATTGATCGGTTGTAATGAACCAATCATCAATTATGAGATTTTGACCAATTCCCAGCACTAATCTGAACACAACAAAGAACAGGCAGAGGTCGACGTGCACACATTTGTGGGGATCTTTAGAGTTGTCAACGCCAGCAACATTACCAGTTGTTTCACCTTCTGTCGTAGATGTCAGAAACGTTGTAAGCGAGGACGAGACCCAAACTGGGGTCCTGTATGAAGCTGGCCTGTGTGGAGTTCCCGAGGCTGTAGCTGAGGTCAAAATGCGGAGTCAGCTCGCACAACTGGAATGCAAAAGTTCTCTTTGATGCAAGAAAAAGATCCTATCATCCAAGTGAAAATATGACCCACAAGGAATGCGTGTTCCAGTTTGGCCTTTCAGGTACTTTAGACTTTGTTTCCTTCCTTTAGACCACTATTTATTTTTCAGTTATTATCATTAATAGAAGGAACTGATAATACAACTGAAATGCAAAAGTTCACTTTGACGCTAGAATAAGGACCCTAGTTCTGTGTCAGTTATTATCATTTATATTTATTTAACCAAATTTTTTCTGTACCCACAAGGATCCCTCTCACTGATTGCAAGCCTGTTATATGACAATATGCCCAGCGGGCACACAACGTTGAGAAAACGTTTAATCAACGTTGACTTTTGGTTGTTTGGTTGATCAACCTTTCATAAAACCTTGATTCAACGTTCATCATGCGACCAAAGAAAATTAGTCGAGATTCGTTTAGTTGTCAACGTTGTTTCAACGTAAGGAACCAACAAAATGTCAACTAATTGTTTCCTTGGTAAATTTGATACATAATTTATATTGGTAATAGGTATCCAACTTAGCATCTATCATTTCTGAATATTAATTTGATAAAAGATCCAGATCCATAATCTAACATATTGTTTGATTGTGCGTCGATCAACGGAAGGAAATGTTACGTAAATCATCGTAATTGAAAATGAAAAAATAAATGATTTTAGGTATAAAGTCAGCATTTATCCGAATTGCATTAAATTTGATATTTTCCCGCAAATTCCCGACAATTTGCTTTCAAACACATGCTAGATGTTGACCTTTCGATCGCCTCGTTTGGTCATATCCGGGCTTGCGCACAATTAACGCGCGCGCAAAGGCAGTTGATCGTTGTCAGTTCGGCGTTTCACTTTGGCGAAGTTCAACGCAATATCGTTTTATTTTCAACATCTTTACGGCATGCTGGTGTTTATTTGGTAAGTATTTCCTTCATGTATAATGAAAGGTTACCGGTATGTCACTTACGTGTTTCTCAATTTCGTGGAAGCCCGTGTTTTCCATGAACTTGTTTTGTTATTTTTCAATATATTTGCATGCATGTATTTGGCATTTTATTATATAATCGAATAAGATTTCCTTTCGTACCCATCACCTGATTGACTTTTGCAAATATTAATTGATAAATAATCAACGAAATACATCTATATAAGGGCAGCTATACAAAATCAAATAGAATCTATCAATATTATATACTACATCACATTATTATGAAAATTAGTTCGTTTTAATAGATCTATTAGTAAATTGTGCATTGATCACGCCCTGAACCGTGGATAATTCACATCAAAATGTCTTGTGCAAGCCTTTGTGAAGGGTGAAATTGTATTTAACTTATTTGAACTTTTTTTTATTTATAAAATGTGTAACTCCACTAATGATTCTTTGTTAGAACAATTAAAAAAAAGGAACCCAAAGACTTTCATTCTTACACTGGTTTGGAAGGGTTGTGATGATTTATATTTCTTCATGGTTAAAATGTTACATATAAAAGAAGTAATTTAGAAAGGAAAACTTAATTATTAAAAATAAGATTTATCTTTAATGGAAGATTGGGTGGCATCAATTTTGTGGATCACATGAAGGGGAGCAATGCTAAGGTAAAAAGTTTTTAACATTCCACCTGTTTGCCAGTATCTCCATCACAAAGTTTAAGAGAAAGATGATAATGATCTTTCATTACCAAACACTTTGTTTTCTCATCCTTTAATGTAAAAAATGCCTTTGTTACAATTTATGACTCCTGATAGCAAAATTGCTACATCAGTACATCACCTATTTAATTTAAAATAATCTTTTCCGGGAATCTCTAAAGAAAACTAAATCTGACAGAATAACAACAAACTTCCATTGGTTTGCAGGACAATGTCAAACAGTTTGATGTCAAGAATGAATGTTGATGGGCGAAACTGCAAGTTTTCTGTTAAGAATGCAATATTGTATTCAATTACCTCTGGTATGTTAATTACCAAATGCTCTTTGTCAGCATTTTCATCATGACCATAGCAACAAATATATGACAGTAAAGCATCGTCTAATTCATAGTCTAATTGAATAATCAACTTGCAATTGAGAATTTTCTTTGAAAATGTTTAAGAAGACTTCCATTCCTTTAGCTAAAAATATAAATTGTTTACACTATAAAAGCACTTTTCCTCATATTTTGTATTGGTGCTGTTTGTATGCATGTTACATATGTTCACGTGCCAAGTTACAGCAGTGAAAGGAACTTTCAAGTGATTGATTAAACAAATACGTGAACCATTTAAGACAATATATCTTCCATATACATGCATTTAAACATAAATATTTCAGAATGTGTCCTATCTCAGGATGGGAATGCATCCGAAGCAAATTTCAAGAAAGAGATAGGAACCTTTCTGAAGTATCCACCGTCAGAGCTGGGAGTGGCAGAAAGAAGACAAGCTAATAATTATTTGTTTGCAGTTGTAATTGTGTTGAAAGATCTGAACTGTGGTATTGAAATTGGTGGCATAAATGTCAGTTTAATGCTATATGCAGATGGTATTGTGATATTAGCACAACGGAGATCAGCTACAGACTATGTCATGTATGATGCTTTACATAATGCTTTAAATTTAGTCTAAAACAATTTCTCTCTCTGTGTTAATAAAGATTTCATGAGAAGTGTCTTGTTTTATGTGCTGTCTTCAGGTATAGTCCATGCATGGTGACAGTAATTGCAATGCATTTATTCAGGGGTCTATCTAATCGCTAAAATTCAGGCAAAATATCTTCTCGGGATAACAAGATAACAATACAACAGTAAATAGTTTTTCATAATTTGGAATACTCTTTCCTTCCTACTGGAATTATATTTCCAACTGACATAAAACTTAAATGAACATTATATTGAATGTGGAATTTGAACCAAGTATTTTATGAGGTAAATCTTTTACTGGAATTTTCTGTTTCACTGTTTATTGCAGGTACCATTTTTGGCATTTTAATTGGATGCAGGAGTTTGGTGCTACTTTAGTGTAGTTTAAAGTTGAAGTGCGAGTCTATTTACAGGAATTGGGAATACAAGTATTGTAACCTTGCTTGAATTTTCACGTATTTACGTTAGATTTCTAAATATAAAAACTCCCATACACAACCACGGAACAACTCATTTAAACGTTAATAATAGGTCAGACTTCAACGTTCATTCCACGTCGGATATCTACGTCTAAATACTTTCATATACAACCCTAATTTCAACGTTGAGGACCAAACCTATTCTCAACGTTGAAACAACGATGATGTGCCCACTGGGTGTGAATTAAAGTTGACAGTCAAGTTGGGATCAACAAACTGCAAACAAGCTACATTTGTACATGATACCTGTAGTAACATAATCAGTACTAACTGTCGAAGAGATTGTGTTGTTTTAAGACGACGGCGTATGGGACATTAACATTTTACACATTCTTTTATTTTAAGGGGAGATGTTCCTCCTTTGTGTATTCCTAGTTAATGTCAGTTTACCATGAGACATATTACTTTACATGTTTTTTTTTACTTTTAGACAGCTTGGATACTGCATTGATACGTGTACATATCTTAATGTTTCTACTTTCAAAAAACATTTTACACAAGTTCATAGCAACCAGATTCTATATTTCTTATGAAAAGACATAGCTTTTACCAAAACTTTCAATAGTGTTTGTTTTGTCTGTAATATATAACTTATATTTTACATTGTCTTTGAGATCATACGTTTTAGTATTGTATTTCGTGTGTATGTGTTAGATTTAATAGTTACTGGTTCTCGTCTCGTATAGCTGAAATAATGATGAGTGAGTGAGTTTACGCCGCACTTAGCAATATTCCAGCTATATGGCAGCGATCTCTGCATAATCGAGACAATCCAGTGTTCAACAGCATGAGCATCGATCTACACGTACGCAATGGGGATACGATAACCAAGTTTCAACCAAATCAGCGAGTCTGAGCATCCGACCCTGTTAGTCGCCGCATACAACAAGCAAGGGTTACTGAAGATCAATTCTAACCCGAATATTCATGATGCGGCGTAAAGCAATATTCATTCATCAGTTTACAGACGGCCCAATATCACAGGAGGGTAGTTAATGTCCTGGAAATATCGTTACTCTCATTACAGCCCGAACAACCAGTGCTCACTACGATAACAGCTCATGCACTATGGTATGGCATTCACACGAAGAACACAACAAAGGTCATCGTGACACCTGCCAAGAGACACGTTTTGAGCAAGGGGATGAACTCATGGCCTTCAATTCCGCTAACATCAAACTGAGAAAACGTTTTGAGTTATTCGAACGCCAACATTCAGAATTAGCTTAACATTTACATTGTAATTATAGCTATTGCAACCAATAGCATACTGGCATCTGCAAGAAATGTCAGCGTTTAAATCAATGCATGGGGCATAATTTATCTGTATCTTGTTGTTTGACTTAATCACAAGCTGATGTCAATTTATTTACTTTTGTGAGCAGTCTACCACGATGCCATTTAGCATGTATTTGTTGCTGCACGGAGGAGTATGGAGCTATATGACGACGCTCTTAAGTTTGCACCCAGTGCATCCTGAAAACTTTCAAGACAATTCCAACCCTAGAATATCTTCAGCAACGCATGCTTGTCGTAAGAGGCGACTAACGGGATCGGGTGGTCAGACTAGCTTACTTTGGTTGACACATGTCATTGTGTCCCATTTGCGTAGATCGATGCCTATGATGTTGATCGGGGCGGTGGGGTAGCCTAGTGGTTGAAGCGTTGGCAATTACTAACACGGAATAAGGGGGCAAGCGATCGCAAGCAACCAAATTTGGGACCTTAGTAGGGACCGTGGGGACTAACAGTTCTTCAAAATATCGTCTTAGTGATCTTTCATCTCAAGCAGGAATGATACTGAATAAGACCTATGATATTGAAAGTTGACAGAATCTGTTTACTAAATATAGCGGGGCGGTGGGGTAACCTAATGGTTAAAGCATTGACTCGTCACGCCGAAGGCCCGGGTTCGAATCCCCACTTGGGTACAATGAGTGAAGCCCATTTCTGGTGTCCCCGCCGTGATGTTGCTGGAATATTGCTCAAACCAAAACCAAACTGGCGTAAAACCAAACTCAGTCAGTCAGTTATGATGTTGATCACCGGACTGTCTGGTCCAGATTCATTTTTACAGTACGCCACCATACAGCTGGAATATTGCTGTGTGCGTCGTTCGATGGCAATAGTGTGCATGTCCATTTAACGTTTTAGGGGCATTTTGTCTCATCACTAATACCAAAGTCCATCGTAAAGAATTCATTACATAGTACGTTGAATACTACCTTGAGTTCAGAAATATCATGACGGAGGACACAAGAAATGGATTGCACACGTTTAATTCGGGTGGGAAACCGAACCCGTGCTTTAGGCGTCACGAACCAACTCTGTAACAACTACACTACCCCACGTAACCTAATAGCAGAGTAAAACTATGATCAATTATAGTAATAATTGTCTGGTCGACAAATATGTCAATGACACGTCATTAATATGAAGGCTTTCATAAAATCATTTGGAGATCTGGGATGGAAAGTTGCCTGATTCGTTGATTTGGTTGATGGGCCATCGAACCCAGACAGCGTGGAACCTTGCTGATAATATCACTCACTGGACTGTCTGGTCCAGACTCGAGAGGCCAACGTCATATAGCCGGAGTTTAGCGTTAAACGTTAAACGTGCTTAACAGAAGACAAAATGTACATTGGATTGCAAATACAACCTCCACTTGGTGACAGCCTTGTTCGTCGAAGTTAAAACATGGGTTCCAAGAAAATCTCAACGTGGCTTCTTTGTCCTTCGTGACATCCATGAATCTGAAAGAAACAACACGTTTTCGTATTATGCAGTCCTATCGTTGTATCAAAATGGAAAAATGAGGGCAACCATTGGGAACACGTAAACTGAGGGAGTGGCGGGTAGTACCGGTGATGTACGACATGCCACCTCGTGTCATCTCTGATTTTTGGGTGAACCAACTGTGGTGAACCCAAATCACAAACTCCACTATGAACTATGAAACTATACTTCACAAATCGGCCTCATTACACAGGAAACAGTGTATCCTACCTTGGTGAGCTGTCATTGTTAGCTAGGGGACGCAGATCTATAACACCGTCTTCTGTGACGGTTGTGCACGAGTTGTTGTCCTCAACGCCGTTCACAGCTATGAGGTATGGTGTCATCAACAGGCACAGTATCAGGACCATAATAAAACAAATTCTTTTACTTGACCCAGCATGAAGTGAACAAATCAACCGTGTGAGATAGCTACACAGATATCTCTGCTAGTGTGGCTTTCGCTGGTCTGTAGATAAGATAAGGTCACACTAGGTGAGGTGAGGTGAAATTGGATTTAACGTCGTGCTTGAGAATATTTCGCTCATTTGACGACGTGCCTGCGTGTGTATGTGTATGTGCGGCAGCTTGTACCAACCAAGACTTAAGCTGGTTTTATCGTGCTAGCCCACTGAGATACCATGCCGCAATGAAGCATGAATACCCCACTCAGACACATTATACTGACTCCGAGCCGACCAGTCCTCGTTGTACCCATTAATGCTGAGCACCAGGCAGGGACCAACAAGTACCATATTTTAACGTCTTTTGGTATGACGCGGTCGCTGATCGAACCCGCGACCTTCCGCTCTCCGGGCGGACGCTCTAACCACTACACCACGGAGGCGGTCCAGTGAGATTACACTCTGTAAGATAAGATCAGGAATTAGTTCATGCAAATAATGAATAGATGCGTGATTTTTTTAAAACCAGTCAAATTATAAAGCCTGACCACCCAAGCAAGAAAATCCCGATGAGGATGTACTGGTTTGTGAACGAATTGAAAAACGAAATCCCCAACGGGCATTTCATTGACGAGTACATGTATTGCTACAATGTTTTATACAAGCTATCTTGACAAAAGGCATAAGTGGTTTATTTCACGATTGAGGCATGTTTGTTAACATTGTTCCGATATAGATCCTTTGACTTTCGATTTATCATAAATATCGGAGACGTTAATATACAATACCGAATTATTTCAAGTCTATTATATTTTCCGAACATAATTTTAAAGCGTTGAATACAGTCTTAAATGTGTATATTGTGTCAGAAGATTGAAACTTTTTTCTCCCAAAATGTAATGTATGATATTAGCGATGACACAATTTTCATATCGATAATCAACAATAATTTTTCTTAGCGACGATAGTTTCAGATTATCGATCATTTTAGCCAGCCCTATTCTTTTCCGATTGAGTCTGTGTGCAATCTGAGAGTATTAGCGATGTTGTTCATGAACATGCCGGCTCTTAGTTTATACAAAGGTTTTGTCCTAACTACGCACGTGTTAATAAATAATAACCATAAAATATAACGAAAAGGGGCCCATTTTCAGAAACTATGGTAACATCATCATGGTGATTGTCCGCATGACAGACTTTCTGAGATAGTGGTTAAGGTTTTCACGCCGAAGATCGGGTTCGTATGACAATGTGAAGCCCATTATATTGCTGGACCTTAAAATCTGCATAATTTATGTTCACTTTGGAAATATACCTAAGTGGTGTATTCTTGTGGGTTGACGTACACGCATATTTGGTCACAACTCACATCAATCACGATTAGAACCGATATACCAAGTTCAGTTAATAATTTCTGTTGGGTGTACAAGAGGCCAGTTTGAACAAACTCACTTGCCAAAGGTGAGACCTCAGTTGGCCTTTTCTGTATTTACACAACTTAATGACATCATTTTAAATTGTCACACTATCAACATTAAACTAAAAACAAACCCCCAATACATTTATTTAACAACACTTCATATCGAATATACATATTCTTGAATGTTCTGATGAAATAAATCACCTCCATAAAGTCATATCAAGGTTGAACATTTCATTAACTAACTCAGCGCCCCTGACCACCTGATCCCGTTATTTGCCTTTCAAGACAAGCATTAGTGGCTAAAGACCATTTCTAAACCGGATCTTCACAGGTTAATAATAATGCTATCTTTTGCGCCTAGAACCCAACACCATGCTGCTCTCTGGCGTTACATTATTACCCTGACGGAATTGTACTTTCAAAGCCGCTACTGAGCGCTTCGCCCGATCGTATAGGTCCGTACACCCGCTTCTCAGGTATCCATTTTGAACAGCTGGACGGACTGAGTGCAATGTGGACGAAGTGCGTTGCCCAGGGTCACAACAAGTATGAAACCCAGGTCACAAATTTTGGTGTCTCCACCGGGATTCTAACCCAGGCCTTTGGCGTGAGATGCCTGTATGCTAACCATTACACCGCTGTGCTCCACATAGTGATAAATGATACTATGTGGAATATATATACTATCATGTACGTAAAAAATATTTGTAAGTTTCATCTACATTGTACCATCTACGTAGATGAGTGAGTGAGTGACTTTAGTTTTACGCCGCACTCAGCAATATTCCAGCTATATGGTGGCGGTCTGTAAATAATCGAGTCTGGACCAGACAATCCAGTGATCAACAGCATGAACATCCAACTGCGCAATTGGGAACCGATGACATGTGTCAACCAAGTCAGTGAGCCTGACCACCCGATCCTGTTAGTCGTCTCATACGACAAGCATGGGTTACTGAAGATCAATATTCTAACCCGGACCTTCACGGGTATGTACGCAGATGAACGTATCTCCCAGATGTATATATCACCTATGTGAATGAAAGTATCTTCTAGATACGCTTCTATCCATTTCGGAAAATGATATTAAACATTTAAAGGAGCATCGGATATGCATCCTTTGCTATGAATGTTAAATCCGTGTATATAATTAAAGGTCCTTGAAGTAGAGGTAAAAGACAATAATCAGTATCGATCATCCCCTAAAACGAATTCCACTGGTCACGGAAGGCAATAAGCGGAAAACAATTTATAATGCCAGGTGTTCGACCAAACGGTAAGAAAACCCCGCCTACGTGTAGGTCGCACAACCGCACCGTTGTCAGAGAAGTGGTTGTTCTTTATCTAACACGGCGAAGTAGTACTCTCATGAGACGTCTTCCCGTAAACACATCTGACAATGAAGCGATGGACAATTACTACCAGGGACACAGCGTACTAACTGACGTTGCTGAAATATTTGTTGGTTGGTTGTTGTTTAACGTTGCACTCAGCAGTATTCCAGCTGTATGGAGTCAGTCTGTAATTAATTGAGTCTGGACTTTCAATTGTTCGGTTTTACAGCTGCTAGATAATACTTAATACCGATTATTTCATCGATTTACCGAAATTGATTCGATTTTCCTGACGATGGACTGGTTATCGATATAGATCAGTGAGCTTGATAATCGTTAACGTAATATCGATCTATTATCGATAGATATCAGAAACGTAGTTTTGAGCAAAACTGTCTGAAGCAAATGAATATATTTCTCATTACTGGTGAGTGGTGACGTGCATGGATGATTAACAAAACAGCGTCCTGAACATAATTTAGAAGCAGTCCATGAATACAGTCTTAAATGGGTATATTGAGTGAGAAAATTGAAACCTTTTTTTCTCCCAAAATGTAATGTACGATATTATCGATGACAAATTTTCATATCGATACAGTCTTTGCAACACTAGTTGAGCGAAGTTTTATTGTTTCCTGATGAACAATCTTGCACAATGGATCCCATGAATGTGTATGCCACTGAACAATGAGCGTCCGTTGGAAATATGAAATAACAAAAGCAATAAAACATTGTTTGTGCTGTTCAGAACTCCTCCATGCAAACCAGACCTTACTACGCTTAGATTTCAGACACTTGCAATATACCTTTAATATGTGTATAGCTGGCTTACTGGATTTACAACTTTCATTTATATTTTTATATCGTTCCTAAACTATTATATATTATCGTATATGGAGATCGAGAAACAGTCGACTTTGTTGTTTGAAACCAACTTTATATTAGTATGAGTTATTAATATTCAGACTATGTAAAGGGCAACTGTCGCTTCACGTAGCACATTGTCCTAGTGCATCAGGCCAGTATGTACACCATTATACAGATGTTTACAGATTATTAGTACGGAATACATAAATGAAAAAGCACGTATAGGATAACGGATTTTATACAGGCATTGTTTACGATACTAATGCGTTCAGTTCACATTGTTATCAAAATATCTAAATTAGTTCATATTATGCATCTAGTGTGCGCAGATAGAAAACACATGCTATGTTTTAACAATGTACTGAGTTTAATTCAATGCCGCTTTGAACGGTATGCTGGTTATAACACAGGGCGTCAGCTTCATATGGGCGATCTGATGCAAGTCACAGAACACTTTGGTAAAACCTACGATCATGGGCATGGTGTTGAGAACCAAGAAATGTTATAGGTGGAATCGGTATTTGAACCCACAATCACAGAGAATAACGATCCCTCAGATAACGGTGTCACCATGCTTCCTGAACAGACGTAAGACTTCATGGTAATTTTCAAAAACAATGAAACAATGAAACAATGAAAATGAAACAATCGCTAAATACCATCTCTCCTCTTCCATCTTGTAAACGTCATCATGCTACGTTGTTGCCTTGAGTGAATAAAGTAACCTAACCTACAGGAAAGCGAAAACTGAGCCATGGCACCGATGATAAACCTACAATATACATTTGCCAAAATAGCAAATAAAGGTTAAAACACCGCATCACTGAAGGTGGTGGTGCACAAGTTACTGGACATCTCCGGCATGTCATGTTCTCGTTTGGGGCGTATAACGTTACCATTTGGTCAGACTTGCTGATGTGGTTGATGCTTGTCATCGCATTGGAGTCTTGTTCATGATGTCCATCGATGGATGTGGATGGTATTACGTCCATCTTAACTGAGAAAGGACTGAAGGATTTACCCATTTAAACCACTAGGGAAAGTTATGTCCATTGTTTTATTAGCATAACTGAATAACTAGGGCAATTACTTATATTCAAAAACAATAAATTTGTACTCATTTTGATAATCTTCATCATGCCTAATACATTACACGCGTATTAAATAAGTATGTCCTCGTTGTGTAAGCCGTTTAATCACCCTAACTATGGTAGTTATTTAAATATACTCTGCTCGGGCTAAAACCCTCGCAAAGCTTATTTAAAATACTACCCTTGTAAGGATGATTAACCTACACGTCACATACATCTATCGAGGTACATCTAAGGGTAAGATGTATGGATGACAACATCTGTATTACAGTGAGGAGCGATATTTCGGTGTAGATTGTAATTCCATTCTCAAGCTCCTCTTTGTTATGAAGAAGTTATTCACCCATACATCGTTCCTCACCAAGCACTCCATCTTCTAAATACCTCTCAAAGGAGTTATACACCTATCTACTAGTGATGCTGAATAGTTATCAGCAACACAAACAATACATTTATCCATTCATGCGGAAAGAAATGGTAGTGAAATGATTAGGTGATTTTTTGTTCTGTGTTTGTTGTTTTCATAACACAAAGGCTTGTTCCAGTGAGTAGTCATCTAATATTAAACCATTGTACCTCCATAGCTCGCTTGTGTCATACTGGTATATATAAAATGAAAGGGTGTTGTTAGTATCAATTAATAAAGAGCAGAGAATCTCTCCTGTCTACAGCTGAAACATGGCGGGATGCCAGCTGGATGAAGTAATTGACCTCGTCAAAAGGGATACTGTTCCAAATGTAAGTTTACGTTTCGTGAAGAAATATGCTCATATGATAATGATTGATGTGCAATTGTTCCGAAGCAAATTTTGTGTTTGCTGATGACATTGGTCACAAAAAGCTATAAACTTCTCCGTACATGTAGGGGTCTAGGACAATCGTCACCCGGACAATCGTCACCCGGACAATTGTCACCCGAACAATTGTCCGGGTGGCAGTTGTCCTGTTCCTACATGTAGCAACGTTCTCATGACTGTGGTTGTGGATTTCATTAACGTCGCCCACGGCATTATGCTAATATCGCCTTCAAGTAGCTGAAGGGGCGGTGGAGTAGCATAGTGGCTAACGCGTCATGCCGAAGACCTAGGTTCGATTCCTTACATGGGTACAGTGTATGAAACCATTTCTGGTGTCCGCTGCCGTGATATTGCTGGAATATTGGTAAATGCGGCGTTAAACCATTTGTAAACGGGCTAGCCCCACAGACGACAACGGCCAGACGTAGGGCAGAGTTCTTTATTTGATCCAGCCAGAGGTGGGTTAAACACCCGCGATCAATTCTGGAACATGCTATAGTACATGTATGTGTGTCCCAATCTCAGAATATAATATTTAAATACAACGTAATCTTAACGTAAACTAACTATTTCAGAAAACATTACAGCATTGCATCTTGCCTTGCATGAAAAGCATGAGCAGCAACTTACAGCCAATGAGAAGTTTCAAAGCTTCTTCAAAAACTTTAGGCCAATCCGTACAGTTGGTATAAAATATGAACTGTGATATATCCTAACATAGGTGGCAAGGCTCCAAATGAGTGGTACTGAGGGTCCCTACCCCATTATGAAATTAACAATATTTTTAAAGCATATAATTAAAAAACAAACACCAAAACGATGCCAAAATGAAAACAATATTTTGCACTCTGTTTCACATACGCACTCACTTATGCAGCTCAAATACTGTTCCAAACTGCATGACATACTGTTCACTGGGCTATATAATATGTTATGTTATAGTAACAACCACTGTTTTAACATTATGACACATTGTGTTTGTTAGTTATTTAACACCGTACCTTACGGCACTCAGCTCTATTCTAGCTACGTGAAGGCGGATTTTCTATAATCGATTCCTGGCCAGATACTCCTCGCACTTGGGATATTATGGCATGCATCAACCATGTCAGGGAATCTGACACCCGAACTCGTTTGTCGCCTTTTATAACAAGTATTGGTTGTTCAGACCAATTCTAACTACACAATCAACGCAATTTGGTTGCATGTGTCAACCATGTTAGCCAGCCTGACCACCTACTCCCGTAAGTCATCTCTACAAGCTGAAGACCAATTCTAACCCAGACCTTCAAGGCTGTATTAAACATACCAATACTCTTTTTCAGGAGGCGTGGATTCCAGTACAAGATTGTCCTAAGGCGACATTTGATTGTGAAGAAGAAGAAGATGAAGCCAAGACCACGCTTGGCGAAGAACATGAAAATCACGAACATTATCTGCATTGTGGAGCAGTAGTTGCCGGGGCAAGGGCGACTGTCTGGGCGAAGATAGTTCGCAAAAAGAAGCTAATTTGCATCACAGGTTCACTGGTGCTCTTGACAGCCTATGCCGTATATTTGGGATTCTGCATGAGGTTTTCTTTCGGAGATGAAGGATCTCTGCGACTGCTGCTTGGAACTGTCTTTTTGCTTTTCATCTATACGAAAATAAAGTTTGGAGCTCAGGCGCGAGATGCCCTCCTTCCAAAGATAAAGAGGATTAAAAACCTTGGCGTCGATAAGCAGAATAATACGATGGTTAAGTATTATATTTAATAAATGTTGTATGTTCTTAACACCACGTGTATTTAATCATAACCAGACATAAAAGGTCTTTTTTCCGAACAAATCAATTAGAAGAACTAGTCTAGAAAGAAATAACATGTTTTAAATTTCTTTGATGAATATGTGAATGTGAAATAAATCTGTCGCGATTTTAATCATTCGCGTTCTGCATGCATGACATGCTCTTTTTATACTCTCTTATTCAGTAATATATTTCTATTTTTAGTTGTCATATATGTTTCTGCATCTCAGTGAGCTAGCACTATTAAACCAGCTTAAGTCTGGGCTAGTACAAGCAGCCACACACGCGCATACACGTCGTCATAGGAGCGAAATATTCCTAAGTGCGACGTTAAACCCCATCTCACCTCAAATATGTTTCTCCGAGTATAGCTATTCTTGTATACTGGTATATGCTTTCTTGTTGAACCGTGGCACATATACTGTGTGATATGTCGTCATATCTTGGTATGACTGGAGTACTTATAACACCGGGCTATAATCCATTCCCTCACAAGTAAGAACTTTAGATGACCTGATGTTGGCAGGTTCCTGTATGTAGCCCTGGTAGTGTTCATCGCCGTCTACTTGACAACCAGCAACCTCACCGCTGACAACTTCGTGTCCCTAGCTGGTCTCATATTCTTCATTCTATTAGGATATCTGATATCGGAACATCCAGCCAGGGTAATGGATCTCATTTAGAACCGTTGACTTTTCGAATCTATTAAAGTGACTTTTACCTCACGCCGGCAGTGTTTCAGCAATACCTTGACCAGACAAGCGTACTTATATTGTCTAAAACCATCAAGGTAGTGTGGAATAACTTGTAACGTAAAATAAATCATTATTGGCATTTAAAACTACATGTAGTTTGGAACTAATAAGAACAGACGTTTCATCAATGGCATTAGTTACAAATCATTTGTAGACTAACAACAACCAAGATTAGGCCACCTTATGTGAGACCATGGGGATTTACGGTGCCTCTGGTGCCTGCGTGGTATCCCAACAGAATATATGCATATACATATAAAAAACTATGTACATACATGGATTTCTATTTAGCATATTTAGCATTACAATTAAGTTCTGGTGAGTATACCCTGAGCCAACTAGGTCTGCTCTTTGGGAATACATTGGAAATATTTGGCAGCAATGATGAAATAAGCAAGTAGGTAAAAGGCTTCACGCCATACAACGGCATCATGCCCTTACACATTTAAGTCGTCAGGATGCAACTGTCATCCTCAGGTGTCGCATTGGACATTGTCATTGTCAACAATCATTTTTGCATAAAAAGGAGATGTTCTCCCATGAAGTAGTCCTTCTTTGCCGTACTCAACTGATTATCAGGCATCTATTGTTGGAATGTATGGATTTTGCACCGATTCTTCACGGTCTTCATAGAATATCTGAACTTCCCAATACCGTACGTTGTTTATTCTCATCCATCACCCCCTAATCATCCAATCTTCATATATCACCATTTCAGGTGAATTGGCATTCGGTGTTCTGGGGAATCGGTACTCAGTTTTTGTTTGCCTTGCTGATACTGAGAACCAATTTTGGCTATGAAATCTTCCGATGGCTTGGAGAGAGGATAGAAGAATCCCTGGAGCATACAGACAAAGGCTCGGAATTTGTTTTTGGAAAGAGTTACAGAGATCACATGTTTGCATTTAGGGTAGGCGTGGTGCTCCTTCCCTTTGGTAAAATGAACTATTAGAATTTACCAGGCGATATATACCCTTGGATAATATTTACTCACCACTTTCGCTTTACTTCCTTTGATATAGTAATTTCTAAACATATGAACGTATTTCTGAATTACAGTCATATACTGAGAATGTTATCGATTATGTTATTGCATGTCCGGCATGTTCGCTCTTTGTGAGAACACCCGGTGTCATCTCTAATATTTCAGTTATCCATTCATGACTTCCACTGCGGATTTGCCTTGCACAGTGTATTCTGTTCTGTCGAATGATCAAGCCGTACTAATGTTAATCTCTGTAAAATATGATATATTTGGGGCCTTACACTTTCTCAGTAAATGTAGCTAAACACCATTTCGTATCCATCGTTATTCTCTCGCTTTGACCTTTTTTGATATTTACAGTCTAACTAGAATGTATTTTCGACTTAAATAGGTTTTGTTTTTATTTCTTATACATATAGTTATGTAGACTCAAGTGTCTTGTTTGTGTCCAGATCATGCCATTAGTGATGATGTTTTGCTCCACTATAAACGTGCTATACTACTACGGGATTCTTCAAGCGTTTGTGGCCAATTTGGGTTGGTTCCTTACCTTCTGCCTTGGGACAAGTCCAGTGGAATCCGTCAACACAGCCCTTAACATAGTCTTTGGACCAGTAAGGACATTCAACATTCTTAACAAGTTTTCACATATCCCTTAAAAAAGAAATAAGCCTGGAATTTGGGATACTGACCGAAATGTCACGTTGAAATCCTATCACGTTGATATTTTTCATGTCATCTGTACTTTCAAAAGTTTAGACTCACTTAGAACACTTACTTTGTGTTATGTATATAAACTACCGGACAAAGATAGTTATCACCAACTTCACTTGACCCAAAAATAGAAACAAAGGCGTACGTGAGATTTGTGATAACCAGTTTACAAACTGGAATCGTTTTCCAATATTTTGACACAATATTCATCGTAATCCTTGTCTTTCATTTGCCGTAATTCATTAAGAAAGAGTGAAGGGGTCAAAATTAAAAATCAGAGTTCATTCCAAACGTGCATAAAGAGTCCCATAATGAGTCAGGGGACACGTCATCAACAACGAGTGTGACCACCATACACGCCAACACACGTCTCCTCATTGACGTCGTCAGTCGGCGGATGACGTCAGCAGGAACCCTGTTCCATCAGTGGAAGAGCGTCTGTTCAAGTTCCTGTCCGTTCGCTGGAGGTGGATCAACTGTCAAGTTGCGTTTTGGCGAATGTGTTCTGCTTGGGTTCAAACCTGTACTAGCGTTTGCTTTTTAATACAATTACATTAAAAGTGATAACTTTCTTTTGACCGGTAGTTTATATATGGTTACATCGAAGATTGATTTCTCCACTTACTAGGGGAACCCTCTGCAAACCCTATGTAGATGAATTGCACGAGGATCATGCATCAAATTGCTGAAAAGCATGTGCAAATATCGTGCATGTGAACAGCTGCGTTTTGGTGTAAAGTTTTGTAAAAAAGTCGCCTATTATCACTGATTTTCATGACAATAATCTTTTCAACGTTACCAATTTGTTTTACAATACATCAGTTCATGTGTTAACAGTATCCTTGAACAGTATTGAATATCTGGCAAAATTTGGTCGAGAACAGTTGCCTGAAGTAAATGTCTATATTTACACTAGTGAGTCTAAACGTTTTAAACGAAGTATAGAATACCATGCTAAGAATATATATCTTTGGCTAAAACAAGACAAATTACATGTTTATCTCCGAAAAATCAAATTTATTTCTCGCGCCCGGTAAACAAAGTTTAGCTTTCCGTTTTCTGTGCTGTCCATCTCCCATCCGCTTGAATTTTCATTTCGAAATAGTAAGCTATTATTCTCAGGTTTCTCCTATATCTCAATGTATGACCTGTATCATGCTAAAAATTATCCTTTCTCTTGCACTCTCATTATCAGAACAGGTCAGTTTGATCTTCCTTAATCCTTGTTTATTTACAAAGTGTTCTGGCAGCCAAGAAGCTTGATCTGTACCATACATTGATACGTAGACTAATACCAAATGATCTAAATTTTTAATCTTATGAAATAAGTTTGTGACAAACAATTTTCCCATTTCTTAAATTAATTTCCCCTCCCACTAGGCCTTACGGTGGAGATAAGAAAAATTAAAACTACGAATGGCCTTTCTGTGATATAAACCATGTTTAAAATGTGTTTTCCAGGCGGAATCTCCTATTGCGATCAAACCATTCCTGCCGTTGTTGACTCCGTCTGAGCTGCATGCTGTGATGGCGGCAGGATTTGCGAGTATTGCAGGTTCTGTCTTCGGAATGCTTACATCCTTCGGGGGTAGGTTCATTCTTCGGGGTTCGTAGTTCATCCTTCTCGCAAGGTAGTTCATCCTTCTGGGCTCTGAGTTCATTCTTCTGGCTGTGTAGTTAATCATTAGGGCTTGGTAGTTCATCTGTATGGGTGTTTGTTCATCCTCCTTGGTACGTAGGCCATCCGTCTGGCTAGGTAGTTCGTCCTTTAGGTTAGTAGCTTATACTGCAGGGTAGGTAGTTCATTCTTTGGGTTAGGTAGTTAATCCTTCTCGAAAAGTAATTCCTCCTTCAGGGTAGGTAGTCCATCCTTCGGAGGACTTCCTTCAGGGTTCATCCTTCGAGGAACTTAGTTCATTCCTCGAGGTAAGTTGTTCATCATTTGGGGGATGTAGTTCACCCTTCGGGTTAGGTACATTGTAGTTAAGCGGGATCCCTGACCCAGTTAGTCCCAGTTTGTGTTTTGGAGGTATCACTCACCTCGGTGGTGTTGGGTTGCCTCGTGTATATTCTACATGGACATGTCTTTATTCATCGTTGCCATACCTTTTACAATCAAGAGTCCGTTAAGCGTCATATACGGACTGCGCCAAACGTACATATAAATACTGTATTGTGTTCGCCACTACGCCTACAAATTAGAAGATAAAGCTACTCTGTTTTCAATTTTGCGGTCCTTTATCGTTGATTTAAGACCGCTAAATGTTCAATTTTCACGCGTGAGGTTTTTAAATTGAACATTTAGAGGTCTTAAATCAACAATACAGGACCGCAGAATTGAAATCTTCATTCTAGCACGACTGATAAGCGTTTTAAAACCGGACTCTTTGGCGCGCATGGACACTAGGCGTGAAGGGGCCTTTTCCTGGTAATTGCTTGGAATCGTCCCGTTGAGCGACAGGTTGTGTAATGAATAAATTAAAGCATTTTCAACAACATAATTATTTTTTTTCAGGAACCAATATGTTTGTATTTGTAATAAATAGCCAATAACACTTTATTCTGTGAGCAAGTGCAATTATTTCATTTTTCTCAAGGGAATTACTAATCTCCCCTATTGTATGACAATCGCCTCGCCCAAATTCAAGCAGTGGTCTCGCTTGGTTTCTTTGCCGCTAACTTTATTCACGGAAGTAACTGTTGGTAACCACGCTACTATTCCCAATTTGGATAAGACCTGAGATGCCAGCATTTATGTGGGAAACATGGACAGTGAAAGTGGAAGGACAGGGAATTACGGCTGGGACGGAAGCGGACAGGTTTGGACGCCCGGTGTCAAGGTCATGCCCGCCAGATCTAACCCGTTTTGAAGCATGGCGGAATACTGCAGCTTTTGCGCTGCTGACGAATTATCGCCACCTTTAGAATTTTCCTGCTTCGAAGTTTCCTCAGTGGGTTTAGACTCAATAATATCTTCTTCAAACCATTCGGTTTTTATTTCAAACACATCAAAGATGCTGCCGAGGTTGAAATTGCCGATGTCCGACATGTTTGTTTACAAACAAAAGGGTCAACGAGTTCATTGTATTCATACGCGGTCAATCAATCACTTTAATTAGCGTCCTTCAACTGCCATTTAAGTACGGTTTTGATGAGCTCTCAGCCAATCAGAATCGAGTATCACACAATGTCGTGCTAGAATTATGCTTTTGGGTCACTAACTACACATTTAACTTGATATGACATCAATATACAGTTGAAACCAAAGTGCATAATTATTCGTTAAACCATAATTACACCATCAACCTTTCCGTCGTTGTCATTGAACATTGGCCCAAGGAATTTATAGTACGTCTAAGGAGTTTGGTGAAATAACGTCAATGGCGACCCGCATGTCTGTTGTAACACTATTTTTAAAGATTCACTATCACTGTTGACTCGATGTCTATACAGGGCTAATCCTACATGGGACCGATTGTTTATACCCTGTGGATTAACAATCAGATCATGGAATTACTGGTAGCCACGTCCTTAATCTTCCCATATGCATAGACCTTTAAAGTAATTAGACCAAAGTAACCCCAACCGTTGTGTTGAAGTTAAGGAGACCACGAACATACTTTCGAGGACGTACGAGGACCTAGCTTTTCCTTTTCGAGATAACCGTTTTCCTTCGAGATAGGTATCGACACATGCTGAATGTTGTTCCCAGGCTCCAGCCAATCACCTACTGGCCGCTAGCGTTATGTCCGTTCCAGCTGCCCTAGTCGTGCCCAAACTGATCGTAATATGATGACCAAATAGGATTGCCTACATAAGGACGAAAGACCTAGCTTTTACTTCGAGACAATCGTAAGCTCGACAAAACGATGTTTGACTCTCGCTTAACATGTTGTTCCCAGGCTCCAGCCAATCATCTACTGGCCGCTAGCGTTATGTCCGCCCCTGCTGCCCTGGCCATGTCCAAACTGATCGTCCCGGAAACGCAGTGGACCAAGATTAAACCCAGAGACGCATACAACATCCCAGTCCCGTAACGTATCACATGAAACTCGTGTCTTGTGTCTAGAATAGAGTGCCTTGTAATGTTGTTAAGGATACGCTGTCTTATGATTTAGAAATCCCAATCTCATCTGGATCATACCGGAAATAAATTGCCCCATTAGTCAGTTTTTCAATGGGATCAAACTTGTTGTGAAAACAAATATTTGACTCCTTTCCTAATGCACTCTTACGTTTTAGTTCCTTCCCGAAATTCGTCCAGGCCTCCTAATGCACTCTTTGTTCCTTCCCTCGAAATTAGATATTTGAAATCATGATCTTTGAAAGATCTTTTCCCAAATGTCAGCAATCATAAAATATATGTTGCTGTTTTTAAGAAATAGAACCTATCTTACGTTTTCGTGACTGTAATTTGTATAAGATATGTTACTATATGTTAAAATAAGGAATAAATTTGACTACGATTGTTAGTGGCTGAACACTTAATGAGGGTTGAAGCAGTGTAAAATAATTGTTCTCCGGTGAGGGTAACGTAAGACTATATCATTTAAGTAATGTTATTATTTCTCGGGTTCTAATCGTAGAAATTTTGATATTTAAATTGGGGAAACATTTGCTGATGATCGCCAGAAGATCGAGGGATAAATAAAATCTTGCTGGGGTCCGTGCAGATAGTAAAGATACTGTCTCCATGGTCCTTATGGTGGACTATCTTTAGTTGCTGAATCTCTGTTGTCGGTCTTTATAAAGTATTGTTAGCTATGGGTATATACTTTTATGGTTACATACAAGTCTGTCGGTCTTTATAAAGTATTGTTAGCTATGGGTATATACTTTTATGGTTACATACAAGTCTGTCGGTCTTTATAACGTATTGTCAGGTATGGGTATATACTTTTATGGTTACATACAAGTCTGTCGGTCTTTATAAAGTATTGTCAGGTATGGGTATATACTTTTATGGTTACATACAAGTCTGTCTTTAGCTTTATACCTTTTATGGTTACATACAGGAGTTTATACCACAGGAACATGTAATTTTTATGGTTACATATTCATGGAAACGAATAAGGGAAACATGAAAGTACAAGTGTTCCTTTATCTATTTCCAGATTTTCACCCACAGTATAATATAAGCATGGCAAGAAACCTAGAAAAGAGTATAGGATCACTTGCTCTTTCGTGTGTTCCTTTATTCGTTTCCATGAGTATATATACCTCAAAAGTCTCGATATGGCTGAAATGCTGCCTATGTGACTCATACACTTATAATCCATTTATGCCAGTTCTTAATTTAAAACGGAAAGCCAAAGTAATTGGAATAAATGCACCCACAGTTGGATCCGTCTTGTTTTATCCTTAAGTTGGTAGGTGGAGAGTAAGTGTCGCAGCATCAATGTGGGTAGCGTCATTCTTATAATACAATCAAATTAATTACCACATTGGTTTGCAGAAAATTCAACAATATTTTGGAAGCTGTATCGGATGGTGCCAGAGAGTCTCTACCAATTGTGGCAAGTGTGATCGCTAACCAGATCATCTACATCGCTATCGTTGAGTTTGTGGATTCGACACTCATTTGGTTCGGCAACAGAGTTGGAGTGTCAGGAGTGTCGTTTGCGGTAAATTCAACAGTTACTGTTATATTCATTCGGTTCAACAATAATGTTATGTGAAAGGAATAATCGAATATTGAAACAATGAATTGGCTGAACCAATACCTATGCTAGGTGTAATGTTAACCCTCTCACCTGATTATATTGAAGCCTCGTTTATCTGGGAGTGAGTGAATATGATTTTACGCCCCTCTTTGGCAATATTCGAGGCTTTATAGCCTATGGAGTCCCTTTCGTCGAGTAATAAGAGTGACTGAGTGAGAATATTTCAGGTTTATGGCGGCAGTCTGTAAATAATCGAGTCTGGACCAGACAATCCAATGATAGACAGTATGAGCATTGATCTACGCAATTGGGATACGATGACATGTGTCAACCAAGTCAGCGAACCTGACCACCCGATCTTGTTAGTCGCCTCTTGCGACAAGCACGGGTTGTTGAAGACCAATTCTAACCCGGGTCCTCATGGGCCGCATAATAAGACATTGGTATTCTGTGCTGTGTCGTTTTATGCTGTGAACTAACATCAACAAATCTCCAACTTTTCGATCAAGATTGAAGATAAGAACCAACCGGAAGAGATGGAAGGCATATTCGAGGTGAATACTGACGCAATGTTTTTAACGTATCTTTCAGTTCCTGTGCTCATACGGTTTTTACCCTCTAGTATATCTCATGGGCTTTTCGAGTTCAGACCTCCTGAAGATTGGTGAGCTGTTAGGAGTTAAGACATTTGCGAATTCCTACTATGGCTACCATCTGTTCGGGAAACTCATCAAGAACCGCGTGGTGCTTGAACACTACGTGACGACCACCAACGGAACGTGGCATTGGGACTCAAGTGACGTCATACTGGACTGGACCAATAAGACACTTCCTGGTGGGATACTGACGGTATGTGATGGATTGGATGAGAGTTTATCCTTAGCTTATCTTTCGTTTGTTTGTTTTTTAACACCGCACATCACAGCGGTGGTTTGTAAATACGCGAGTCAGGATCAACCAATCCAGTGATCCACAGCATGAGCATCGATCTAATCAATGGAGACAATAACATGCAACTACCATATCAGCGAGCCTGACCACCCGACCCCGTTAGTCGCTTCTTATGACAAGCATGGGTTGCTGAAGTCCAATTCGAACCCGGATCTTCACGGGTGCAAGCGAATTTGCAGTACGACGACTTACCGTTCATATTAGTCAGTAGGGTTTATTTTTTTAAGAGTATGATTCACAAACTGTATGATAGAAACGGCGTGGTGTCTTTGAATACAAACGAACACTTCTTTCTAATTCTCAGAAACGATCGGAGGTGATAGGAACATACGCGTTCTGTGGACAGAACCACCTCGCAGCTCTCGGAGTCGCCATTGGTGTCTTCAGTACTCTGATTCCAGAGAGAAAACGCACCATTACCAAGTACATCATCCGTGCTAACATTACAGGGCAGTTAGCATGCTACATGACCGCTTGTATTGCAGGTAAGTTGTACATGGAATTGCCTGAACTTTATGAAAGTCATCCAGCTTCGTGTTAATTATTGTTGGGGCTTGTGGGTTAGCGTGGAGGCCGCCATAACAGCTCATTGAGATACTGTTATCCTGCAACTATGTGCATACACTCACGGACACAAAATGTAATCTGATGACAACTTATCATTGTAGAATATACCAACTTCCATGCAGACTGTCGTAGATATTCCAAATTCCGTTTCTAGAATATGGAGAATATTGATAACAAAAGATTGTATGATATGAAATAACATAACGCTCGGGTGTACACATTTCGTTGCATTCCATCTAACTGTATCATCTACGGATAGGTGTATCGGCAAAGTGAAACCAACTTGAAGCATTTAAGGTGGAGTCAAGTACGAATACGTATGTAAATATAATGGTCAGGTAGGTCCGAATTAACCATCGGGAACCATCGTTTTTCATTCATTTTCAATCATATATAAATTGCTGAAAAAAAGTAACGCACTGGGTGATCAATTTTCTTGTTGGTGTTTTGTAGAAGTGTGTTTAGTCTTTAAAATATGGGCGGTGGGGAAGCCTAGTGGTTAAAGCGTTCGCACGTGACGCTAAAGGCCCGGGTTCGATTCCCCACATGGGTACAATGTGTGAAGACCATTTCTTGTGTCCCCCGCCGTGATATTGCTGGAATATTGCTAAAAGCGGCGTAAAACCCAACTCACTCACTGACTTTGAATACCATTTTCCCTCTCAAGATATACTCAAAAGTGTTCAGCCCGACTTGGCTCGAACTGCCAAAAGCAATCTATATATACGTTTCATGAAATGTATGTACATTTATAGATTAGTATTATATCTACCAAGATGTGATATGGCATGACATTTGTGAGGTTTATGCAGCTATTGATGTTAAGTCTCTGTGAACCGTCGGGGCCAAGCCGGACTGAACACTTCCGATAAGAACTATGATGAAAGTATAGAAAAATCATTCTTCACTTTGGAAAACGTGTTTGTTTTAATCACTATGAGCTTTGAGACGAGAAATAAATAAATGTAGATGTAAGGATGTTCTAACGATGAACAAATGTAAAAAAAACCCGACTTCACATTAACAGACAAGTTCGTATAACACCATGCACGTCCCCATGCCAGCTCGGGGCATGTCGGCCTGAACAACATCTGATAGAAGCTGTTATGAGAATACGGGATAATGGATCCTTTCTTACCAAAGTGTTTGTTATATACGATGAACTTTGATATTTCCCAAACAAATATCACCTCGTCAGAAGAAAAGAGACATCTTCGTTTTGTAAGATAGTAAAATATTAAGTAGGGGATTATTTGTCATCCTGGAAAAAGTATGCAACGCAGGCAAATCAAACTTAAGAAACAGGCCTAATGTACAAAGTATATAATGCAAAATGACTGGTTACTCACACTATTGTCCCGCATACAGTAAATATTTGGAATTCCCTTCCTGTAGATTATTCCAGTGTTAGTTCACTTGCTGAAGTCAAAACACCATTAAAGGAACATAGTGGTGTTTAGTACATATACATGTATTATATTGATTTGAACTACGGATAGAGATTCTGCCAAATTAGACATATTCGATTACGGCTTGGGTCCAGTATTCTCAATGCAGGCAAATGTGCCAAATTTACCGACAGTCCTCAGTCAGTCCTATATGTAATTGCGGTTATTGTAATGAAGACGCACTTTGTTTCCTTTTATCTGCCTCATGGCGGTGGGGTACCCTGGTGCTAAAGGTGTTCGCTCTTCACGCCGAAGACCCGGTTCGATTCCTCACCCAAGCAATAATGTGTGTTCCTGGTGTCCCCGCAGTGATATTGATTGAATATTGCGCATCCCTCATCCACTCATTTGATCTACCTACACTCAATTAGATAAAGAATGTATTTAGGCATATGTTTTTCTATTCTCCATGGCCCCTCAGCTTCCACAAAAAACGTAAATCTTGAAATTATGAAATCCGTACACAGTATCATAGTTTCATATCGCGGATTCTCAAACGTTGGCTGAACACATCTTCAGAACATCAAAAACTATGTCCCTTGCTATATGACAATTGTTTGTATAATATCAGTTCAGTTATTAATTAATACCATCAACGTTAGCTTGTAAAATTGTTGATTAAAGTGCTTTGTCACCATTCATGTGAACGTCACATTGCATGTTAAAGGAGGGGGGAAGGGGCACTGAAATACATGCTTCTCAGTCGTTTCACTATTCGATTCTTTGGCAGTCGTTTCATTGATTGGTATTTTGAAGGAAAAAGTCGAGGAATTCGCTTCTAAGGTTTCATAGATTGAAGGAATGAGTGTGAGTGAGTTATTATTTAACGACACATCGGCAATATTTCAGCCATATCGTGACGAGAACATATGTGACTTTGAAATGGAACAGATGTATATTATAAATACCTGTCGACGAAGGACAGTAAAACAACTAGAATATCACAATGACAACTAAAACTAGTGTGGAAAGTTAAAACTAATAGCACTATTTGGACAATACAATATAAAAACTGGCTACATATCGCCAACAACTGAAGGTAGATCACCAAACTAGGGACTTGAAGGCATGAAGGTAAGTACAGATCGTTAAATATATAAGTCACAGTCACTATGGCTGTTCCATTGTCTCCATCTGTGCTGCACCCGTGAAGATCAGGGTTAGAATTGGTCTTCAGTAACCCATGCCTGTCGTAAGCTGCGACTAACGGGATCGGGTAGTCAGGCTCGCTGATCAGTTTGACACATATCATCGAAACCCAATGGCGTTGATCAATGTTCATTAGGGCTGGGACGGGTAGGAAAAAATGGAATCGAGTACCCGCATGTACTTACCCGAATCGGAATCGAGTACCCGGAAGTGTAAAGAATACAGCGCTTCTGTCAACTTTCTGAAGATTCAATCACGAGTTGACAGAGATTATTATAGAAAACTCGAAAGGATGGCAATAAGACATTAAAACAGATCTTAGGCTATTTAATTTACGTCTGTTAAACCAATATAAAGAGTAACACCATTACTTACATTCATCGTTTAAACACAGAACATTTCGTACCCGCTGTTACTGTAACTTTCACTACTCACTGCGCAGATAAATTACAGTCGTTAATAATATTCTTCATTAATCGGAAAATACCAATGATGTAAATATGTGTTACGTGAATTATGAAAAAAGACAAGTTATTATCTGCCCTTGTCATAACAGAGTTCTCTCCCTTTCCGGTACTCGATTCCAAGAAATAGGACTTGATTCCTGCTGTACCCGACCCGGATTCGAGTACCCGAGTACTCGTCCCATCCCTAATGTTCATGCTGTTGATCATTGGATTGTCCGGTCCAGACTTTCATATTGCTGGAATATTGCTGAGTGCGGCGTAAAACAATAACCAATCGACCGCCCCACCAACAACTCTATCTGTGTAGGCTTCCATGTCTTCACTATCAGCAATTTGTGCTGTTGTCACCGCCACTTTGTTCACTACCTAGCACTATCAGTGCTCTTTACCAAGACTAGTTGCGCCTGGATTAACAGATGGCTTATATTTCTCCATTGCCATTACCGGTCAGAGACATTTACCTACTGTTAATTTATTTATTCAGTTCAACATCGTGCAGCTAAATTCTTTTAGCCGTCGGAAGCAAAACTCCAAATTTAGCAGATTGTGGCGCAATGGGCTGGGTTTCTCAGTACACTAAACAAAAAGAATTGAGATTCTCCATTTTGGGCGTAAACTTCATTTACTTGAACTCAGTAGAAGACATTATTTGTAGATGGTCGGGACATTGGAGGAGATCTTGGTATTTGGAGCTCATGAATTATTGGACAGTTTTCATTTACCTATGAATGAACTGTTTAGCATTTCACATGAGGAATTTGTTGTTGCTAAAAAAACATCTTAAGGCGCTAGACTGTTTTGATTGGTTTTCTGGGCTTTGGAATGCTAAAGGGCAAGGGAAATGGAAATACATTACGTACTTATCGTCTCTTTAAAGATTTATTACAGGTTGAACATTATATTGAAATAATTCTTCCAAGATCACTTTGTAGTATCTTGAATAAATTCCGTTGTGGCATTTTGCCCTCAGAGGTATAATTAGGTAGATATTCTCGTCGGAAGTCTGTAGTAGCAAAGCTGTTGAGGACGAATTACATTTTCTGGTTAACTGTGATTATTATTCAGATCTTAGATATAATCTTTGGAAAGAAATAACCAGGGGCAATAGCCACATGTAGAAACAGTTGAATCTATTTCAGTCATAATGTCAGCAGCAACTCATTAACATGTTTGCTATTTATATATTTTATGCTTTTTAGTGTAAGAACGTGTGTATGTGTGCGTGCGTGCGTGCGTGCGTGCGTGCGTGTGTGTGCGTGCGTGCATGCGCGCGCGCGTGTGTGTATGTGTGCGTATGCGTGGGTTGGTGTTTGTGTATATGTCCGGGCTTGAGTGTGTGTATGTACGGGTGTGATTTTATTACCAATGTTTTTTTATACAACTGTGGTATTATCTGTGTCTCATAGGCCATATGGCCGGATGCTGCTTTTAAATTCCTGTTTAATGTAACGTCTCTTCTAATGAATTGCAGCATGTGACACATTAAGAAACTATACTTCTTCTTCTTCCTACTGACTTCCCCTGTTGTGTGCCCTTCCTCCTTTATCATCTTATCACTGTTGTTATTTTGCCATGTACTTATGCTTATATACACATGCTCCCTGGTTCCAATTCACCCGATGGAGGAGCAGAAATACTCTATGCATGTTCCTCATGTTAGAGATTTTGACATTCATCAATTTTCACTTGTAGTACTTCTGACATATGTTGTATTTGGGATTGCACTTTCTTAGTAAAGTACAGATTCTAGTACTTTTGTTGTTGTTTTTGTTTGTTTGTTATTTTGTTTGTTTTTTGTTGTTGTTTGTTTGTTTTATTTTGTTCGTTTTTTAGAGTAAGGCACTTTAATCATTTGAATACTTCAAAAGTCCATTCAGAGACTTGAATGTTATGACGTTATTGAATAAACATTTGGTATCAGAGTTTGGGAAAGTTATGCATTTATTAACGCTGTAGGTGTATCTGACCAGATCTGCACGTTTGAGTTTATTATTCTGCAATCCACTTTTAGCATTATACGCAGGCCCGGCCCGGTCCTTTGTATGGGTTTTGGACAGTCCCAACTGATACCCTTCTTGTGTGAGTAAGTGAGTGAGTATGGTTTTACACCGCTATTAACAATATTCCAGCAATATCACGGCTGGGTCACCAGAAATTGGTTTCACACATTGTACCCTTGGGGAATCGAACCCAGGTCTTTCAGCGAGACAAACGAACACTTTTACTTCTAGGCGACTTCACCAGAGGCATCACCAAAGACCTGTTTGATATTGATCCTTGTCCATTTCGAAATATACTGATAGTTCTACAACTCCCATCGTAATATTTTCCTTGAGATAATAATAGAGCGCCGCTGCGGGAGATATCTATCGATTACCAATGCACTTTAACTCATGTTCATTTAACTCGTCCCTATTGTCACAGGTATGCTGTATGACGAGACGCTAACCTAACAGGGGAGGATTTAAGGCCAGCTTTAGAAGCAGGTTCCAAGCAAGGTTCCAAGCATCAACTCGCAGTCTCGTTATTGTCAGCCGAAGAAAAAAACTGATTGTTATCACACGCGTTACCAATTTACAGTGGATCTAAATGAATAAAGAACTGAGATAATAAATAGTTGTGTTCCTTGGATTAAACTCCTTTGCATACGCGCCTAGAGAAGCTGTTGATATGTTGATGGGGCGTGTTCTGTTTGTTAACATTTATTTATTAAACGTAATTTACGTTTATAGACTAGTATTATATCTGTCTGATGATACTTTATAATGTCACAATACATGAATTTTAAAGATTGGTGGTACGTTAAAATGAAACCCTTTTCCTCTACATTCCCAGGATTGCATCTAACTAAACGTTTAAACATGGTTTACACTACGACTTGAGACACTGTAAAGTTGTATTTAGATAGGAAATTGTTTGTGGGTATGTACATATGCTATGATACGTTTGTGTCGGTTATGTGGCTGTTGACAGGTGAGATACAAAAACGTTTTGTTCCTATATGTAGGATTAAACTCCTTAACACATTCGCTTCGTTGAGCTGTTGATCTCTTGATGTTGATTACATATCTACACCCAAATGTGAATGCAATAAAGCAACTGAAAATGGTTTACATTATAGAGATTTAAACAAGAATACAAAGTCATCAATATCCCCCGCAACATCAAAATACTCTTTATGAATATGTCTGCTAGTTATGATTGTGTCAAATGTTTTGGAGTGTATACAGCAAAATAGAAGGAGAGTATTGAAAGGTTTTTAAGATCTGCTCCAGCAAGGATCACTACCAGCGAATTCAGTTGAAGCCTAACGTGTTGCCATGGAAATGCAACATGATAACATCCTAAGTCATGTCTCCATGGAAATCACAAAAACTAAAATTCATATGTGGGTCTATCCCCCAAAGGCACATCTAGGGATCATGTTTAATATGTGTACCAAGTTTGATGAAGCTAGCATGTATAGTTTAGGAGATCTGATCTGGACAAGAGGACATCCCCAGAACCACAGCATGAGTCATGCTTCCATGGAGACAGCAAAAAAAATATTCATATCTGGGTCTAACCCCAAAAGGCACATCTAGGGATCATGCTTGATATGTGTACCAAGTTTGATGAAGCTAGCATGTATAGTTTGGAACTCGTTTCTTTATCCCCCGCAACTTCGTTTTCTGGTGAAAATTATGATATTCTGCGACTGAAATTACATATTCCACCTCGCCGTCAAAAATAGAATCTAAATCCGAAACGAAATCATTCGACAAATTGCTGTTAGAAACAGCTTTCATTGGAAAAGGCATACTGTTATACAAATAAGTATGCAATGTTTCTTATAAACTAGTGGGCAAAAGAAAGTGAACACAGCTTATTAATGATCGATAAAATCAAAGCTAAACATACAATGTTTTAAGTTATAGTACATTTTAAAAAGCCAGCATTTGGGACAATGCACCCACAGTGTCTATGATAAACTCCTCACAGATAAAGAGCACAGTTCATGTAGTGGACAGAGGGGTAGGAATAGCACAGTTCACAGATACAACAAGAGTCAATCATGGAATGTATCCGTCATGTCAAGTCTCTGGTCACGCATACACATCCTTAGTAACGAGTGTGACCACCTCTAGCAGCAATACACATCCAGACTCACTGTCTCATAGATGTCGTCAGCCGCCGAATGACGTCATTCGGAATCCTATTCCACTCGTTACTGAGAGCGACGTCAAGTTCTTGTCGGTTTGCTGGGGGCCGTGGCCGTCTTCTCACCTGGCCGTTTCGGTCTAAAAGGATTTTACTAACTTGGACAACTTTGCCAAAAATTCAAAATTAAAAGTCCGCACTTTCTTTTGCCTATGAGTTTATGTTCTTAATGTGAACATAATGTGTTTTTTTAAGTCATTATTATCAGAACGTTTATATGTGAGGGATGTTTTTAATTCCTTTATATTTCATGATTCACATTTTCAATATTTTAATAAATTTGTGCGCACCATAAAATTGCCAAGTATGCAAAATTCAATAGAAAACTTTGACAATATAATAATAAGAAGAAGAAGTTTATTGTATTTTAGGCGTTCTGCCCACATACAGAGTACTAAAAATATACAGTCACTCCCACAGTCAGATGCTGTATCACATCAGTTTGGATTATATAATATGTTTAAAGCGTCATTTCTTAAGTTTGTTGTATGTTTTAAATGAAACAAGAGAATGCAATTTCTGGTGGTTTACCTAAGTACTTTCTGGGTATATACAGAATTCTCATGTTATTAAGGATATGTAAAGTGGGTATATACAGAATTCTCATGTTATTAAGGATATGTAAAGTGGGTATATACAGAATTCTCATGTTATTAAGGATATGTAAAGTGGGTATATACAGAATTCTCATGTTATTAAGGATATGTAAAGTGGGTATATACAGAATTATCATGTTATTAAGGATATGTAAAGTTGGTATATACTGAATTCTCATGTTATTAAGGATATGCAAAGGCAAAGTGGATTTCATTCTCTACACCTCGTTTACATAACACACAAATCCTTTTATTTTTATCAGTCCCTATTTCTCTACGTTCCTTGATTATTAATCCTGACAAACCCAATCTCATCCTAACAACTAAGTCACGTAACCTATCAGAGGTTAGTATGAAAAGGTATTTTTCGGGTTCAAGAAGACCTTTAAACTATATGTAAGATTCATACCGTGTACTTCCGTTTTAATTCGAATGCCAATTTTGAAAAAAACCCATTATGGATCGTTCCCTGAATTCATATTAAAATATACGAACATTACCAATTGTCTGGAACAACTATTCGGTGCCATAGCCGTATGAGTGAGTGAGTGAGTTAAAATTTAAGTCGCATCGGCAATATTTCAGCCATATCGTGACTAAAACTAGTTCTAAATTTAAAATATATACAGATAATATATAAAACCCTGTCAACGAAGGACAGTAAAACCACTAGAATATCACAAAATGAGTTAAAACTAGCTAGCATATAACTTTAAAAGTAGAAAACTATTTTTGGACAATACAGTGTAAAAATGGGCCAGTAACCGCCAACAACTGAAGGTAGATCACCATACTAGGGACCATGGGGACTTCCATAGCCGTATGAGAATTGAGGTTTCGAATGTGTGAAGCCCATGTTACCTTACCCATAGTGTCTAAGTTTAGGAGCATATCGTAGGGCTATTTTCGGTAGACGATGTTCATACATGTCTAGAATTGTTAACCAGAATTTAAGGCATCCAATTTGTGAAGCTATATGTAGTGGATATCTACCATTTCACCATATACCATAGAATTCGGCGTAGGCCCGACCCTAAGTTATTTTTACATGCCAAAGGTGTTATTTTTCTAAATAAATCGGACATTTTATCAAAACCCCAGAGTCAAATGATTATTTTACATGAAATTTACAAAGGCTTCAGTGATAATCGTTTTTGAATTAATTCATATGAAGTAATGAACAGTTCCATCGAAAACCATCGGAAACCAACCTGGGATTCGGGTAGTTTGTCAATACTGTGAACTGATTGACTAAAACGGCAAAATTTCCGTGAATATTCTGCAATTCTGCTGTGAGTTTCTGAAAAACCTTTCCTCGATAACGTAACTGCAGACTTTTCGGGTAGTGAGGGTGGCTGACGAACGATGCATGTCACCGTATCCCAGTCGCGTAGATTGATGCTCATGATGTCAGTCACTAGACTGGTCCACTCCCAATTATTTACAGTCCGACGGCATATATCTGGTGGATACTTGGAAAACAAGCAGTACAATCAAACATGTTGTGATGACAACGTGACCGTTTCAAACTATCATACGAATGGGTGTCGTAAATAGTGATGTTCGTTAGGCTGTACTGAGGTAATCTAGGGCAAAGTGACTATACCAGTACACGATGTACAATTCAGCAATTATGTCGTCAAATGCATCCGATTCCATTTGTATTACATTATTTTGTGATTTTTAACCCATCGACCACATTCACGCAGACAACGTTTTGTTGGTCATGTTCAAATGCCTCGCAATCAATAGTTAAACTGTCATTTATTTGACTGTAAAACAAGTCCTACAATAATATGTCTTTACACAATGGAGTTTAAGTTGTAGCTGACGCAGCGCGAACACTGCTTTCGTGATACAATGAGTTTAACGAGTGACCGAGCTGCCATTTGTAACAATAGTTTCCACCGAGTACGCGTTAATTGTTGTCCTTGAAAGTCATTATCTGATGTCATCTTAATCGACTGATATCCTAATGGTAGGACAGGAACTGTTTACCCTCCTCGCAAATGCCGTACTGCTTTCGTGATATAATGGGTCTTTACAATGAGCTTAACGAGTGACCGAGCTGCCATTTGTAACAATAGTTTCCACAGAATACACGTTAATTGTTGTACTCGAAAGTCATTATCTTATCTTAATCGACTAATCTCCTAATGGTAGGACAGGAACTGTTTACACTCCTTGCAAATGCCTGATTTTCAGTAAACCTTTCACATAACTGATATTATGTTGACGTTTTGTATACACAACACATAAATTATGCCTTTTATTCTGATAAAGCAATATTCGACCAAGCAATTTGCAAATGTTCAGAGAAGTTTCTCTGTACAATGAAAGTCAATATGATGGCTGTTTCTTGTGACGGGCTGGTCATTGTTCACATTTTGTTTGAAGTGACACTAAGCAGAGGAAATTGCCCGTAATACATACAGCAGTTTCTGTTTATGATACCCAAACCAAAGACTATCCGAAGTTACTTCGTTGAACAAATACATATATTGACTATTCAATATTGTGTCGGCGACCTGGAAATTTGTATGGAAACGTGTGTTTTAGTTCCAGCTGTGAATTCAATATGTTGTTGACACAATATCCCAAATGTCTGGACACAATGTGAACTTCGTGGCATACGTCTTAAGCAGAATCTGATATTTACTGGGCACATTTCTTTCTTTCAATAGCATCACAGATCGCTCGCCATCATGCCTCCCTCCGTAGAAGTACTTGATGGTCTTGCGGACGTATCAAAGAGTGAGTGAGTTTAGTTTTACGCCGCACTCAGCAATATTCCAGCTATATGGCGACGGTCTGTAATTAATCCAGTCTGTATCAGACAATCTAGTGATCAACAGCATGAGCATCGATCTACGCAATTTGGGTACGATGACATGTGTCAACCAAATCAGCGAGCTTGACCACCCGATCCCGTTAGTCGCCTCTTGCGACAAGCATTGGTTTCTGAAGATCAATGCTAACCCGGATCTTCACGGGTAACTTATCAATTAACCATTTTCACAATAGCAGACTCTCCATAACGTAGTGGATCGTGAAATATACATATAATACCTGGCTGTCAGATCACCATTTATACAAGACTATCAGAGTCAGAACGGCTTCTGAACCAAAACTGAACGTGTAAACGCTCCCGGAACATTATACAAGAACCATGCATTTCAACCCACTCGCCCATTCTTGGGGAGAGAGCATGGTGGCTCAGTCGCTGTAGGCGCCACAGTTCTCCCTTCAGTGTTGTATCTCTTGGCACGCCAGAACCAAATCTTCTTGGGTTCAAATCTATTTCTCCCGTTTGAGTAAGTGAGTATGATTTAACGCCGCTTTTAGGAATTTTCCAGCAACATCACGGCGGGGGACATCAGAAATGGGCTTCACACATGTGGGTAATCGAACCCGGGTCTTCAGCGTGACGAGCGGACGCTTTAACCATCAGGCTACCCCACCGCCTCCCCTCCCGTTTGAGTTCCCAGGCTGATAAGCACCATGGTGGTCATACGTCGGAGACCTGCATCACGTTCTTCTTACATTAAGCTGACCAATCCAGTTACTGGTCTAAGCCGCACTGAACCAACGTCACTTACCAACTCATTGTCATTTTATATCCCCAACCTTTGTTAGAATGAGTGAGTTGATATGGAAATTTGCTCTATGACTGAAACAACGCCGATGCGATAACTCAATCACCTAATATTGAAGCATCGTTTACCTGAGCGTGAGTGAATATGATATTCCAGCCTTTATAGCCTTTAGAGTCGCTTTCGTCCAGTAATACGAGTGAGTGAGTTTAGTTTTTTACGCCGCACTCAGCAATATTCCAGCTATATGGCGGCGGTCTGTAAATAATCGAGTCTGGACCAGACAATCCAGTGATCAACAGCATGAACATCGATCGACGCAATTGGGATACGATGGCATGTGTCAACCAAGTCAGCGAGCCTGACCACCCGATCCCGTCAGTCGCCTCTTACGACAAGCATGGGTTACTGAAGATCATTTGTAACCCGGATCTTCACGGGCACTTTTTGGAGGGTGCTTTAACTGTAGTACGTAACTGGCTGAACATGAAACACTTTCTTCCACACGCTACCAGTCTCTGTTATTCCGAACCCGGATCGAACAACGTTGTAGTACAGAAAGCACTTCCTGCTTCCATGATCATGGACAAAGTATAAACACCCTGGCGCCCTCAAGCACATGTCCGAGCACTCCAAGTGGTTGATATCTTGACGCCAGTCCAGGATCCCTACCTTGTCCACTGGCACAGACCAAGGTTCGAATGTAGTCACCAATGACGAGCAGGGTATCAGGAGGCTTGAATCTATAAATTAGAGAATCAGTGTCAGTGTATACTCTTAAAAAAAGGAAGAGGAACTTCATTTTAAATTTACGATTGTAAAAAATTGGAAGATATATCGGATGTCAATCAATGTTGGTATTATAATAACACTTCCTTATGACCATAGTTGTTTTACAGTAATCGCTCTTCAAAGATGATTGGTGTAAGACGTGAAATTTGCATGTGTACGATTTTCATTTTAAAACAAAAACGGTTTGGGAACAAACACCAACAACTGTGTGATGCAAGATGGATGTCGAAATTAATGATCTACAGCTATGTATCTACAGCTATAAAGATGTCTGTCTGTCTTGAAAATTCGTTAACGCTTATACTTCCTTTCCAAATTGAAAGTTCAGGTTCCCCTACTTTTTAAGAGTATATTTAATGGTTTTCCCGTGACGTTAGAACGTCCGACCGTGTTTCTTGGCTGGTCAACACCTTACCCGTAGGTTTCAGCAAAGTGTTAAACATCCGAGACCTGCTTCACACATCCTCACACAGTTCACTGCCACGACACGTGTAACTCCTTTGGTACTCTACAATCAACACGAGTGGTGTACACAGAATGAGGTTTTTATTCTAGCAGTACAACTATGTGAGTCCGTGGGAGGCTACCAGGGCAATTCGGCAAAGTGAGGCTGGCACTTGGACACCAGATGGACTGGTCAGCGTCCGCTCATCCTTGTCCTTGGTTGCCTTTCTGCTGATCTGTAAGCGCTCTTCCCGCTGTCCAAGACTTCCCCTATCCTGCCTGGTTTTAAAGGCAGAAGAACGACTAACAGCCTGTTTAGGTAATAATAATACGGATTCTTATATTGCACTAAACTCAATACCAAAGTGGGCTCAAAGCGCCAACAGAGTTCATACTACAGGTTTACAATCCATTTCAATTCAACAGCTAGGTCTTAAGATGGAGATGGTTTCAGATCAAATGGGAGAGCGTTCCATTCAACGGCAGCATTATACGCAAAGGATCTTGAGCCTGATGTTTGGGACCTTTAGTAGCTTCTTTGAGTGGCATTTTAGAAGTTGGGAAGTACAATATAGAATGAAACTTTATGGATAACCACTTCTTTTTCATTCGTGAGTGGTGACGTTTCGATACAGATACTTGTACCAGATTATGCTTGACAACGGTACAAGAATCTGTATCGAAACGTCGCACCTATAAAAAGAAGTGGGTTATCCATAAAGTTTTGTTCTATATTGTACCTTTAGTAGCATCAGATCACTGGAACGGAGAGTTCTTGTACGGACACAGTCTTCTACTAGATCACACAGATCACCAGGAGCTGTATCATTGATACACTGATAGGTGAGGGTGAGGATCTTATGATGTATCCGTTCTTTGACCGGCAGCCAGTGGAGATACCAGAGCACACACAAGAAATAAAATGGTGATTTCCAAACATTACCAATTTGGAAATATCATATTTCCAATTTGGAAATATCATATTTCCAAAAATTCAAAATGGAAACATTATATGTTTCCAAGGCTTGGAAAATTTTGGAAATCTCATATTTCCAAAATTGGAAATGTCTTGGAAACATCATCTTTCCAAGACATTTCCAAACTTGTAAATGTGGACTTTTTCCAGTGACAGGAGTGATGTGACAGGACGGTAATTGGACATAATCTGCGTAGCTGGTCATAATGACTGGTCCGAGTTTGACATATCTCGACAAGTGTACACGACTAATGCTATTAAACATGCTATAACTGGATTACTGTTCAAAGTTGTTTTAAATCCACTTTCAGTCATGAACTCATTCACTTGATACCGGTAGTCAACATTTTCAATAATAATGTTTTAGAAACCACTGAAAACCTTTAAACGGTCACTGGTAAATGTAATTTATCAAATAGAATATGTTATATATGAGTCATTCTCAAAATTCGTGCATATTTTATGTAGGCAAAAATTGTAAATTTTGTTTTCTTGTTTTACTTTGAGAAGTGGTTGATTACGTTCATAGTATTCTGAATATACAAAACATAAATCATGCAAGCTTAACGACGTTTCATTTTTCATATTTTATCCCGTTTATTAGAAATTTCATGAAATTGCATCACTACCGTTACGAAATTTGTAACGTCATTTTGAAAAGAAAAAATCCAAAGATGATATTTATTTAATGTACATATATATTAAACTATCTAGTTTTACAATATAACGTGGCTAATGAGTTTTGAAATTTTATATCTATTGCTTAAAAGGGGCAAACAAGTCACAAAAATTCTTTCATTTCTGATTTGCAAAAGTAAAGTTATATGTAGAGAAAAATTCACAATGAGAATATGATTTATATTATGCTTACTTGAAGCTCTACTACGAAACATAGTTGCACTACAAATTCCAGACATAAACAGATACATCAATTTTAATTTAATAAGGAAAATGATATTGTGACACAATAACGGTAGTGAAGTTTTAATAATAGCCAGTTTTATATGTTTACTTTAAAAGATAATTTGATGAAATCTGTCAATTAGATATTTAAGAATGTTTGGAGAATATGTAATAGGCAAAAGCGTTACTTATGGATATCACTGTCATGTAAAAAACAAGTAAACTCTGCACATTACGGAAGTGACATTGTGACGGTATGTAATGTCACTACCGTAACGGCCCTATCACAGCCATTTTCTTCTTTGTCACAGCCGTTACACTTCCCTGTCCTTACTGTAACAAAAAATCATCCTTATATGCAAATTGATTTTATTCATTTGATCCATTTTTTATGTTGAATAAGATTCCAAATCATTTGAAATCTTTGAATTTGAAAATTTAGGATACAAACAACATCAAACTAGAAAAATGTCACTGCCGTCACAAAATCTGTCCTTACCATAACAAAACCTATGATAACGGCAAGCATGTAGCTGTAACATCATTTATTATGATATGTTAAAAAAATTCCTTTGGAAAAGATGAAAAAAGACGAACAAATTCGAATTGCACATCGGCCACTGGAGTTGTGACACACGAAAATAGAGTAAAATTGGGGGTTTGGGGGTGGGGTTTGGGTGGTGGTGTTCAAAAATAAATATAAAAATGTGTTTTCCCCAATTTTATTATTGTAAATTGTAGAATAAACTGAGATAAATTATAACATAAATGTGCACGAATTATGAGAATGACTCATATGACATAGGTGTATAACATGTTTCTTTAACCAGAGGCCAATGCATTCTGAAACATTCTGACTGGAGGCATGTCTAAAGGTATCAAACTGATATGAATGATAAAATCACCTTACAACATCAAGAACAAATATGGACGTCAGAAAATAACCAGTTTCGATTATACGAGACATAATGATACAAGGATGGATCACTGAGAACCAATGATGATTCCAGATGTTCCTGAAAACGGTGAGCTGTACTTCGTTACCTGGTTCAAAAGAATGTATGTCTCATGCCTGTCCCATCCCCATGATTGTCGTAAGAGGCGACTTAATTTTGCAACCAGTTTTGCCTGATAACTTTCAAGACAATTCCAACCCGTGAACATCCGGGTTACAATTGGTCTTCAGCACCCTACGCTTGTCGTAAGAGCTGAGGCGACTAACGAAATCGGATAATCAGGCTCGCTGACTTGGTTAACACATGTCATTATATCCCAATTGCGTCGATCGATGCTCATGCTGTTGATCACTGGATCGCCTGGTCCAGACTCGATTATTTACAGACCGCCGCCATGTAGATTGAATATCGCTGAGTGCGACGTTAAACAGCAACCCAACAAACCTATCCCATTTCAGTTTGTTTCGTATCGTACATGGTACTTACCATACGTACAGATTGGCGTGCCACTAGCGTTCCTCCATGTTCCAGAAGAGTCACACACCCGCAGCCCGACGTCACCATCGTTACGGTATCCATAGCTACATACGTATGTGACTCGATCAAGGTATCTCCTCTGACCAACAGCAATGGCGTTTGGGTAGTGCTCATGTGGAGGGCACGTGACTGCTGAAAAACATATTGTGAATATGCGAGTGATTACGATGAGTGAGTGAAAAACGGACTGCAGAGAAACGTATTTTGAGTGAGTGAGTATGGTACGCCGCTTTTATAATATGCGAGCAATACTGTAATGGGACACACTGCGTGGGACACCAGAAATGGGCTTCAACCAATGTGGGGAATCGAACCTGGGCCTTCGGCGTGACGATTGAACGCTTTACTTCACGCCTACCACACCGCCCCAAACATGCAAAGAAAATAAACACCCAAGGAAGTAGAGCATCTCAGTACTTCCTCGAGTAAAGTGAGAAATGAAGTGATGACAAAGATGACAAAGCTGTCTGCTAGACAGATAGGGAGGGAGATGGAGACGACTCTGTGTCGGAGGAAACGATAGATGAGGAGGGAGATGGGGATGACTCTGTGTCGGAGGAAACGATAGATGAGAAGGAGATGCGGATGACTGTGTCGGAGGAAACGATAGATGCGGAGTGAGACGGAGATGACTCTGTGTCGGAGGAAACGATAGATGAGGATGGAGATGGAGACGACTCTGTGTCGGAGGAAACGATAGATGTGGAGTGAGACGGAGATGACTCTGTGTCGGAGGAAACGATAGATGAGGAGGAAGATGGACATGACTCTGTGTCAGAGGAAACGATAGATGTGGAGGGAAATGGTGGTGACTCTTTCTCTCTGAGGGAACGATAGATGCGGAGTGAGATGGAGATGACTCTGTGTCAGAGGAAACGATAGATGTGGAGGGAGGAGGTGGTGACTCTGTGTCGGAGGAAACGATAGATGAGAAGGGAGATGCGGATGACTGTGTCGGAGGAAACGATAGATGCGGAGTGAGACGGAGATGACTCTGTGTCGGAGGAAACGATAGATGATGAGGGAGATGGAGATGGATGACGACTCTGTGTCGGAGGAAACGATAGATGTGGAGTGAGACGGAGATGACTCTGTGTCGGAGGAAACGATAGATGAGGAGGAAGATGGACATGACTCTGTGTCAGAGGAAACGATAGATGTGGATGGAAATGGTGGTGACTCTTTCTCTGAGGAACGATAGATGCGGAGGAGATGGAGATGACTCTGTGTCAGAGGAACGATAGATGTGGAGGGAGGAGGGAGGTGACTCTGTGTCGGAGGAAACGATGGATGCGGAGTGAGACAGAGATGACTCTGTGTCGGAGGAAACGATAGATGAGGATGGAGATGGAGACGACTCTGTGTCGGAGGAAACGATAGATGAGGAGTGAGATGGAGACGAGATGGAGACGACTCTGTGTCGGAGGAAACGATAGATGAGGATGGAGATGGAGACCACTCTGTGTCGGAGGAAACGATAGATGAGGAGGGAGATGGAGATGACTGTGTCGGAGGAAACGATAGATGAGGATGGAGATGGAGACCACTCTGTGTCGGAGGAAACTATAGATGAGGAGTGAGATGGAGATGACTGTGTCGGAGGAAACGATAGATGAGGAGGGAGATGGAGACGACTCTGTGTCGGAGGAAACGATAGATGAGGAGGGAGATGGAGACGACTCTGTGTCGGAGGAAACGATAGATGAGGAGGGAGATGGAGACGACTCTGTGTCGGAGGAAACGATAGATGAGGAGGGAGATGGAGACGACTCTGTGTCGGAGGAAACGATAGATGAGGAGGGAGATGGAGACGACTCTGTGTCGGAGGAAACGATAGATGAGGAGGGAGATGGAGACGACTCTGTTTCGGAGGAAACGATAGATGAGGAGTGAGATGGAGACGACTCTGTGTCGGAGGAAACGATAGATGAGGAGGAGATGGAGACGACTCTGTGTCGGAGGAAACGATAGATGAGGATGGAGATGGAGACCACTCTGTGTCGGAGGAAACGATAGATGAGGAGGGAGATGGAGACGACTCCTGTGTCGGAGGAAACGATAGATGAGGAGGGAGATGGAGACGACTCTGTGTCGGAGGAAACGATAGATGAGGAGGGAGATGGAGACGACTCTGTTTCGGAGGAAACGATAGATGAGGAGTGAGATGGAGATGACTCTGTGTCGGAGGAAACGATAGATGAGGAGGGAGATGGAGACGACTCTGTGTCGGAGGAAACGATAGATGAGGAGGGAGATGGAGACGACTCTGTGTCGGAGGAAACGATAGATGAGGAGGGAGATGGAGACGACTCTGTGTCGGAGGAAACGATAGATGAGGAGTGAGATGGAGATGACTCTGTGTCGGAGGAAACGATAGATGAGGAGGGAGATGGAGACCACTCTGTGTCGGAGGAAACGATAGATGAGGAGGGAGATGGAGACGACTCTGTGTCGGAGGAAACGATAGACTCTGGAGGAGATGGAGATGACTCTGTGTCGGAGGAAACGATAGAAGTGGAGGGAGGCGGTGGTGACTCTTTGTCTGCGGGAACGATAGATGTGGAGGCTGGTGGAAATTGCACTTTGTCTAAGGAAACTACAGGTGCCGAGGCAGACTGCGCTGACACGTAATCTGTCTGCTGGAACAAGAAGTTTTAGATGCATTGATGATATTTACTCTGATTGATCAGGAGGTGGAGTGCCACTTACTCTGTCAGAACTGCACAAAATACAAAAAATACACACTTGCAGTCTTTTTGGATTTCTCCTGGAAGAGAACCAGGTGTCATCCAAACATTACACAAATAGGTTTAAAAGGGGCATTTCTAAATTTTGCATCAGCCTCTCTAACAGACAGAGGCTTTATGGTCTCCATAGACCATCAAATCTCCCAACACTAGAAAATGGCACACACCGGGGAAGAATCATCTCAGCCACCCTCTTCAATGTTATGGTTGATGATATATCCAACAAACTCACTAAAAACACATACAAATTCCAGTTTGCCGACGATGGAGCAATATGGGTTAATGATAAAAATATACACAAAGCACAAAAACAAATTCAAGCTGCACTTAACCATATTGAAAACTGGACCAACCAAAAGGAGCTCCAACTCTCTATCACTAAAACAACAACTGTAGTATTCAAAGCACAACATTGAAGTAAACAAAACGTACATCTTTACATAAACAAACAAAAATTACCGCAATCAGATGCAGTAAAATTTCTAGGTCTAATCTTAGACAAGCACTTAACATGGAACAAACACACTCAATTCATACAATAAAAATGCACGCAGATCTCAACATTATTAAATACCTATCACATAGTAAATGGGGTAGCAACAAACAAACATTACTACAGTACTACTATATATAGCACTCATCAAATCTAATGTACTCTATGGCTGCGAAATATTTCAAGGTATTGCACAAAACATAAAACAAACTCATTTCCATCCAATTCCAACCACATAAATGTATAACTGGAGCCTTCCCAGGAACATCCTTCCAAGCATTATTGGTAGAATGCGGGGAACTGGACCTCACTCTCGAATGGGAAAGATTACCCCATTACAAACAAGACTGAAAACCACTATACATCTCTTACAAAATAAAAATAAAATCATTATCAATAAAGGCAAATACCCCAAACCTCTTGGACCAAAATACAGGAAATTAAACAACAACTTGATGTATATACTACAGAATATAATACAAACCCATACTACAAATCTCTTCCAAAATCCTGACCAACACAAAACTGAACACAATATACTTAATAAATTCACAGTGCAAGAAATCATACAACAAAATTACAATCCACAAGATTATGTTCACATTTATACAGACGGATTCAAGGACCAAAATGGTAATGCTGGTTTTGGTATCTACATACCCGAAAAAAGCCTTAAACAATACTACAATCTCCCAGCAAACTCCAGTATCTTCACAGTAGAACTCGCAGCCATAGTTCAGGCCTTGCAAACAACATCTGACCAAACAAACACTACCATCTGCATTTTAACGGATTCCGTAAACCATAACCAGATTAAGATTAGCAAATTGCAATCTTAATCACTATCTACACAAAATCAACCTTCATCCAAACGACAAATGTATCACTTGCCAAATTCCTGAAACAATAGCCCACACTATCTTTTACTGCTCAAAATATAATACACAAAGAACCCCATTTACCAATGCATTAAAACAGTACCTCAACAATGGTAACTCTTCTGATCTCAAGCACATTCTAACAAACCCCAAATTAATTAAACCACGCACTAAATATCTCATTCATACAAAATTATACCAAACAATCTAGTAACAAAAACAATAATACACTAATTCCACTTTTTTCCATTTAAAAAAATTGTTATAAGTATGTATATATGTTCTTTTAACTTTAAAATGAGTTCTCTGTTTTATCAACTTCATTTTTAACCTTTTTTATGTTTATCATTATTCACTAAATAAATATGTTTTTAAGCATGGGTTGGGTGTAAAACCAAAAAACAATAACAATAACCACTTATTACACTACATCTATATTAAATTCCAAGTCATCTGGGGCGGTGGGGTAGCCTAATGGTTAAAGTGTTGGCTCGTCACGCCGAAGACCCGGGTTCGATTCCCCACATGGGCACAATGTGTGAAGCCCATTTCTGGTGTCCCCCGCCGTGATGTTGCTGGAATATTGCTAAAAGCGGCGTAAAACCAAACTCAGTCCAAATCATCTATTACTCTTAACCTATTTCATAATTGTTACCTTTTTAATTCCGACTCCCATTCAAATTTCCCTTAATACTCAGTTTTTGGGGTTTTTTCACTATTGGGGTGTATTTTTTTGTAGTAACACCACTCTTTCAAAATTATATTTTTTGTTCCCCTCATTTCTTATATTTCATTTAGGTCCCCAAACCTCGAAATTTAAATCACCTCGAAAGCTCTGGGGGTCTCAAACCTCGAAATTTTAGTACCTTGAAAATTTCCCGGTATACGGTAAGTGTACTACCCCGTCGCCGAAATACCTTAGTTCCGCGTGCGACGTTAAATAAAGCAAATAACAACAACAACTTACTCTGTCTTAGGGAACAAGTATGAGGACAAGTAGTTGCGAGGTCACTGGTTTCACAGGATCCCCTGGAAGCGTGGAAGTCACATTCGCAGTCTGTGTCAGCTCCTGCCGCTACTGTTGCGGAGTTGAAAGACTTCAAATTAATTCATATCAACACCACTGTAGACTATGATGTGCCGTTGAAAAACAATGCACGAGGCACGGTTTAAAAGACGTTGTGTTATCGCATGTCAGTAACTGTACCTAAAGTGATTCAATCAGGAACCGCGGTTGTAAACTGACGAACAAAGAAAGTACACACCCGGTGCTTTTAGATTAATTTCCAAAATCGACGTAAATGTTTTGAAAAGAATTTTTACAGTGATATATCAGTAACAGACTTTCCTAAAATGTTGCGAAAACCCCACAGATATCGTGCCCAATTGCGAAGTTGCCAGTCAAAATCACAACACTTTTCAAATAATCCCAAAACACCAGGTGTGTACTTTCTTTTGTCCGTCAGTTTAGCTATCATACCCAAGGGTTCATTGAACGTAAAACAGGAGATCTTCGTCAATGGATGGGTGGTCAGTGGTGGAGGTGAGGTGAGGTGAAATTGGGTTTTACGTCGTGCTTGAGAATATTTCGCTCATATGACGACGTGCATGCGTGTGTATGTGTATGTGCGGCTGCTTGTACTAGCCCAAACTTAAGCTGGTTTTATAGTGCTAGCCCACTGAAATACCATGCCGCAGTGAAGCAGGAATACCCCACTCAGACACATTATACTGACTCCGAGCCGACCAGTCCTTGTACCCATTAATGCCGAGCGCCAGGCAGGGACCAACAAGTACCATATTTTAACGTCTTTTGGTATGGCGCAGTCGGGGATGGAACCCGCGACCTTCCGCTCTCCGGGCGGACGCTCTAACCACTACACCACGGAGGCGGTCGGTCAGTGGTGGAAATTCTGAACCCTTGTTTATGCTCCTTGCTTACTTACCATACTAACAATGCCATAAATACATAGTCAATGCATAAACAGATACAGTCAAACACCTTTGTGCCGAATTTAAACGGCCCTACTTGAACACTTCGAGTAATTCAACGTTAGACACAAACGGAAAATGATGGTTAAAGAAGGAATAAGCAGGGACTAGGTTTTTCCTTCGAGACAAACAAATTCGAGAGATCAATAAATTCGAGACAGACATAAGTTCGAGACATCAAAGTTCGACACAAACATGTTTAACCCTAGATGGAAGTAGACACATAACAAGTTTACACATTTCCGGAGGCAATAAAGGCCACTTACTCATACCTCGCCCTTTAAAATTCTAGTTAATACGAGAAGATCATCACCTGAACACTCGGCGCCAGTGTTACAAGACTGAGCACAGTAACACATCATGTATAGCGGATTAATAACGCACTCGTGTATCCCCATCCAGTAGTTGCAGTCTGCATGGGTATCTGTGCACGCCGTCGATCCTGAAACACACAAAACACATTACAGAATGTTGTTGTTTATTGTCGCAACATTCCAGCAGTCTAGTGGTCAACATTATGGGCTTCGTTTTCTGTAAATGATTTGTTTGTTTGTTGTTCGCACTGGGCAATATTCCAGCTTTATGGCGGCGATCTGTAGATACTAGTGGTGATGCGATTAATTGAAATAATCGAAGATTGGTCGCAGTGACTCAACGACCAAGCAATCGATCATGTTTTCTCATAATCGAACACAAACAATTCTGGAACACTTGTTTTCATCAACAATATTTTTCACAAGGTTGGTTTTGTCTGTTACATTTCGTAACCACTACAAGCTCGTTCCAAATCATGATTGAATTTATCTTAAAGACACCAAGAAATTTATGTTCCTAACATACTACTCGTCCTCTAAGGATGTGAAATTTGCCCCAAAACATCAAAAAAACTACATGTTTTTTTCCCTTATTTTTTTGTGCATTAACAAATTTCATAAATGACGCTGACAAATTATTTTCGATGATTGATCGGTGGTTATGAACCAATCATCAATTATGAGATTTTAACCAATTCCCAACACTAGTACATACGAGTCTGGACCAGAAAATCCAGTGATCAGCAGCATGAACATCGATGTAAGCAGCTGGGATACAGTGACTTGTGTCAACCAAGTCAGCGAGAGTGACCACCCGATCCCCTTAGTCACCTCTTACAAGTTATGTAAATGAGAGACGATGGTATGTATCAACCATCAACCATTGCCTTTTGCAATATTCATAAGTTGTTTTCACCGATTCTACCTGGATCCTCGAGGGCCAACAGAACGTTCGACCAGGATTGCAAAACATCGGCTATTGATGTCGAAGCACTCGTACATATTTGTCAGTATGAGTCAATCGTTATCCATGGGGCTTTAGAAGCAAAATAGCAGAGACAATTATGTGAATGCATAACTGATTGACAGCTGGTGTTCACGAAGATGGTTACACAATAACGTGTGCTGCACCTAGACATAAAACCTTCGGGATGCAGACTGAAAAGCGTTACGTATATTACACGCACTTATTTCCATAAGAGCCGGTAAAAATACTTCTTGTTGTTTTAGCATTGATTCAGCATTATTCCATAAGAATGTTTAAGAACAGAATCATTGATTGTGATAAACAGCGTAGTTTTGGTAATATAAATCAATCGTCTCATTTGATGTACTTTAAAGAAACTAAGTCACTTTTGAATGTTGAATATTATGTAAATTTTATCAACCAAGCAACTGTTGGAAGAAATATTTGCCTTCTTAAATTAAATTCCGTCCCTTTACGATGTAATATAAGAGGTGTGAACGTAGATACGTATTGTAGAATGTGTGAAGAGGGGTGAATGAAAATGTTATACATTGTTTTAATGTAATGCTTACAATGTAATTAGGGATAGATATAGTCCTGAAAATGGTCTGGTAAATTAAGTCGCTAATTATCATAATATATTAACTAGCAATTGTAGATATACTCTTGTAAATTGTTCTAATTACATCAAAGCAGCTCTTGCGTATAGGAACATCGTTACATCATTAGCCATTTAATTGAATTACTATGTAAAGTTTCTCCTATTCTACAATAATGTACTCCTTTTTGTATGTATTGTACATGGGCGGATTGCCTACAAACCGAAATAAAAGAATTGAATTGAATTATATACATATCCATATAAATAATGGTTGGCTGGCTAGTTGGTTTACTGTTAAAGCCGCACTCAGCAATATTCCAGATATATCTAAATAATCTGTAATACTGGAGTCTGGACCAGACGATCCAGTTATCAACAGCATGAGCATAGATCTACGAAATTGGGATACGATAATGTGTCAACCAAGTCAGCGAGCCTGACCACCCGATCCCGTTGGTCGCCCCTTACAAGCATGGGTTGTTGAAGACCAATTCTAAAAACTGCGTACAATAAGCTACAAAAATGGTGAAATGTTTTTATCATATATGGATCTTGCTTTAAGACGACGTCCAACAACAATGACCTTTGTTATATACGTACACGGTGAATATATATTCTTTGCTGTGTTCTTGGCTTGTTGATTGCAGATGCTACAAAGACTCTTTTCAGCATCCTTTGATAAAATGCACGATCAAGGGAAACGATTTTAAGTGAGTTGTTTTTGTTACCACACTACTTATTTCATCATTATCGCGTGGACGAAATCGCTTTGAAAAATGTTGCATTTATTAAAATTTCGTTTCAGTATACATTCAATGATTTTGCACAGAAACTTCAGAAGGGACGTTGTCCCCTTAATGCAACGTCGCCCGTACGAAACAAGTCAAATCGTGACAAAATTTATCAAGCTTGGAAGTCAATATGTGGGATTATCCATGGCCACTTGTCGCGCTTCCTTTTATTTTGTCACTTTATGTTTGCTTTTGTAAGAACGGCACCCCGTAAATGTCCCCAATAGATCTGCTCATAAATGCAATATAATTGGTATTGGTATAGACGAAGACGAGACAAACAGACACAATATCAACGTGGATTTAGAAACGTCAGACTTCCATATTATTCTTTCTGTGCCCCGGCAGTCTGTTTCACAGTTCCTGAACCGCAATATTTTCTCATTTGCCTAGCCCTTTCTGGAATGCTACAGCTGTAAATGAAGCAAGTCTAGACTTCCACAGGTAGTCTTGATTCCCTCAGGTAGTCTAGATTTCCTCAGGTTCAGTGGTTTGAATCTCCTTTTCTCACCCTTGTATACCTTGTAAATTGTTCTAATTACATCAAAAAAGCTCTTAACAGTTCAACAAACAACAATTGAAAAAGTCCTGCTTGTTTCTATCAAATTTATATATATTTATATTATAGAGACTAAGCGTTGGTAGTGACCAGCCTGAGCAATGGTGAGGTTGTCTACCTGCAATGCAGGCTAGCCATACTGGGCAAACTCTTGAAATGAGATTTGTTCCTGTTGTAAGGCTAGTCTTGTTGTCAGGAAGCATTAACACCACACAAACGGTTCCTTTCGCACTGAAATCATTGTTCCATACGCTTGAGGTATATATTTATTGTTTCAAGTGTTAGGGTTGCCAAGAACATGCATGGGAATTTGGACAACTGAGACAGATGTTCATGCAAAACATGCAAATTGTTCATCCTGAAGTACATGTACTTTTAATTGATCGTAAATAACATAGTTTAAATTTCTCTATACATAACTCCTAAATGTTTCATTGTGTAATTTACTTTGCTAGGCAAGGATGATTTCGAAAGGCCATGGGATCGAAAAAATTATGCCTTGTGGAATATTAATGAGTGCGGCGTTACACAACAAACCAACCCTTGTGTGATAGGTCCTGTATCGTTGACATCAGAAAGGTTGCTATTTTCGTACTGAGTTATTGCGCATGACACCTAAACCACGCATGGGATTTGTATCCTTAAGACATGGATCTACAGGTACTTTGACCTTTTCTATTATTTATGCTGTAGCTGCGTGGCAGCCAAGTGTATGGCACGCGCTTTGTTGTGTTTGTTTGTTTGTTCTTTAATGCTGCACTCAGCAATCTTCCAGCTATATGGCGGCGGTATGTAAATAATCGAGTCTAGACCAATTTCAACATCATGAACATTGATCTGCGTAATTGGGAACCGATGACATGTGTCAACCAAGTCAGAGATTCTGACCACCCGATCCCGTTAGTCGCTTCTTATGACAGGCATGGGGACAAAAGATTGAAGGGCACAGGGGAAATTGTTTTGGGAGATTTATTGAACAGGTCACTGAGGCACAACAATACAGTACAGGGGAAACATAACCCGTGTGTACATGTAGTAAATGACATCGGTAAGCGAATGAGTTGGGAAATACCACCGTTTCAATGGTACTCCAGTTATATCAGACGTATAGTAACGGCATTGGGAGCACATGGCAAAGAAGACAAAGCGGACGGGCACTGCTCTGTGTTTCGGAATATGTTTCTGGGTTGATGTGCATCATGCCTGTGCTCAAGGGTTTCCGAAACCTTCCGGAACATGCATCACTCAACCTGTCCTGTGAATGAGTGAGTGAGTGAGTGATCGAGTGAGTGAGTGAGTGAGGAGTGAGTGGAGTGAGTGAGTGAGTGAGGAGTGAGTGAGTGAGTGAGTGAGTGAGTGAGGAGTGAGTGAGTGAGTGCAAGCCGCTTTTAGCAAGAATGTTCACCAGAAATGGGCTTCACACATTGTATTCATGTGGGGAATCCAACCCGGATCTTCGGCGTGACGAGTGAACGCTACTAACTACTAGGCTACCCCGAACGCCCTGTACAACCCCAATATGGTTGTCTTGATTTTACATATTGGAGTTGTACACGCCCTCTGTTCTCCTTCCGTGATATAACAAGACACTGCCCAAAGCGGCATTAAGCACTTCTCACTCCCTTCGATGGAAGGCACGACTGGCAAATATATCAATGTATGCACAGAATAATGTATTGTCGTCTTTGCCTTGGGCCTTCAAATCACCTGCCTGAAAGCATTGATTTCATTGTCTGACATGATTATTACCTGTTTACCTACATGGAACAATCAAACATAGAAATGTCGTAGTTAAGGTGAGCGAGTGCGTGAGTTGGTTTGACACTGCTTTGAACAGTGAATTTCTGTGTCTCAATCGACACGGCTAAAGTGGACCCGTATAGAACCGTGGTTTCTCGGGTTCTCTAGCACTGTGTAGGTTGACGTCATGGTCCTTAGCTATGTCCATTGCTTTTTACTTACGGTTTGGGGGTTTTTGTTCGTTGTTGTTAAACGCCGCATTCAGTAACGTTCCTGCTGTATTCGAGTCCGTACCAGACAATCCAGTGATCAACGGCATGAGTAATTGGGAATCGATGACATGAGTCAACCAAGTCAGCGAGTCTGACCACCCGACTACGGGTTGTGTTAGCCGCCTCTTACGAGAGCATGGGTTGCTGAAGATTAATTCTGATCCGGATCTCCACGGGTTATTTACAGTGTCACCATGT